TATATGATTATATTTAAAAACATGCTGAAGGAAAACTGTTCAGGCTACAAAGCATATCTTCAACCGAAAACGTTTTAGAATTAGTTCATATGGTCTATATGGAGTCTAAGTGAATATATGTATATGAAGTACTACAAACATACTTAATTAACCAAAAATAATAATAAGACTCGCCTGGGTTGCTTTTTGAATTCGCCGTTACCACCATGTTTCTTGAAACTTGAAGTAATCTTAGAACAGCTTTTTTATAATCCGGCTCAGCAATATGAAAAGCGAATAGAATGTGGTTATCCCTGGCATTCTTCTCGAGACTTTTGTAAGAAAGCGAATCCAGGTACAATATTTTTAATCGGTAACTCTTAGCTTTTTACTATGCTGTGTGTTTTTTAGCACTCAGTGAAAGGTCAAGAGTTCATTATTATCGGTGATAGTAAACATCTAACATTATCTCTTAATTAGTCTTCATACAGGTATTTTCCTCGAGAGTTCCTCTAACCGCACTATCTTGGAACTTAATTCAGATATACAACATATTTCTAAGGCTAGCTGTATAGATTCGAACGCTTTGTCTCAAATAAACTATTTAGACATTTTCCAAAGAATTTGCATTCTTAAACTCACCACACCCTCAAAAGGTAATAATCTTCAGTGACAGCTATTATTGATACCCTCAAACTGGAAATGAAACAGATTGAGGCAGATAAGGTAATCTTATTATGTGACGCATATACCAATTTGGATCGCCCAATTGCACTGAATTATTATCGTCACGACGTCTTTGGTACATTGAGCAATATTTCGGCATTCAAGTGTCCGATCACGATCACTTCCAAAGAATTTTATTGGCCTGCCGTCAATAAAGATGTGAGAGAGTTGGAACTATCTTGTACAAATTGTTGAAAGTCTAGGATGACCATATGTAAAAAATGTCTGCTACGTTCGTTCACAACTACTGGCTCCCGTTTCACTTACGTTCTGTTCGACCCATTGTGTATAGACCACCTCACATAATGATCGGAAGCAGTACCTACCAAGGAAAATGTAGGATTTAGGTTTCGGTACTATCAAAATAACAGACAATCAAAATTGTGGGTTTTCCATAATATGAATACTTAATTCATAAAACCTTTCGTCACGGTCACAGAATTGTCCATACTGAGTCGTCCTATGACGATAGTCATTAGTGTGCTTTTAATGAACTTCTGATGAACCTACTTGGGCTAAGGATGGAATAGTACATTCGATTTAAAAAGCTTAACGTTGCATAGAGTTACCAGGTCGTGGATGTTACTTCGAATCTAGGGTGAACCACGTTTCTATCAGACTCTTGAATGTCATACGATTTCAAGCAACTGTCTGCCACCCACAAGCTAACAAACCGGTCGAACGATTTCACTGATTGATGAGAGCCTCGAGCCCAGCTGCAGATGTGTCACAATGAACTGACTCACATCCACTCACTTCAGAATTCGAAACCCGTTGGAAATAGACGCTGCATACGCTGCGGCGGAGCAGCACAGTATTTTGATTTTGAAGCAAATTCATAAATCCCACAGCTTCTTCACTTAATATGAATTTGATCTAGGTGGTGGTCGCCTGAATATTTGGGTGGTATTGATAGGAGCAGATTACCCTGGAGGATTCAGCACTTTGGTTAGTTGACGTGACTGTGGTTCATTTGCACTACTGCAGACGCATGGTCCACTGACCTTATTTCCTGATTTTTGGTCGCATCATACCATCATAAATGCTTTTCTATACTGTCGCTTTGTTCATTGCTACTAGCTACTCTAATATCGTCGTGGTGATGTGATACTGTAACGTTTTGACGCACATTTGCATCAGTTTCTCTTTGGATAATGACTGACCAAATATTGATCTAAACTCTTGTATTGGCCAGGTTACATAAGCTACGGGCATAGTTAAGCCTTCTTTAGACAAATGTCAATCAACAACCTCCTGGTTTGTTACACAATTTTTAAGTCATGATTCATTACGCTGACCAGTCGTCGAGGCCTACGAAGGGCGCTACAGGGTTCTGCGTCGCGAATCAAGGTAATGTATAATCGTGTTTAATACTGCCGATCCTTTGACTGACCTGCCATTTTGCTATCTACAGATGTATTATATTTGCTCTCTAACTCAGGATATAATTTTTCTGCTTACCAGGTTTAACAGAGGTAGGTTTTTTCTTTCTTTGATTGTCTTCATACAATCTACAAGGATGATTTACTTGAAGTTCGGAGTGCCATAAGTATGACACCGTTTATTCTATCTCATGGTTAGAGTTATGGAACGCTTGCACATATGAGATGGATGATGGCTAGCAGTGTTATCCAGGAAGCACGTTTCGTCCTATCTGGAACTCGTCAACTGAATATAATTGTATCTTAGAGCTAATTTACACCCTGAGAGTCGAACCCAGTACCGTTCTCTTCAAAGATTATTGTGTTATCTATTTGGATACTGAGTTCAGATATTCACCGACTTGTGTAATGGAGCGAAGTTTGAATCAAATTTACCTTGATTGTTTGAACCTTTCCACCGACGTTTAGAACTGCAAATGGTTAGTTTCCTATCGGTTTATGTGCACTATAACTTAGGGCAATATTATGGCGACCCGCACAGGATTCACAAATACCAAAATCAGATGGACTAGGTTCAGTTGTAAATGTCAATGGGAAGATTCAAATAATCAGTACAAATAAATTAACTTCTACATACTCTTTGACGTCAGCTTACTGCCTTTCTAAAGCTGATAAAACATTTTGAAATGCTATATATATATATATATATATATATATATAGTGTAAATACCATGAAACTTCTGCGCGTAACTTCATGTGCGATGAAATGTGACCTGTTTTAATGACAACATTTGTGGGTTATTAATAATGGCTGTCATTATGAACTATCCACATTCAAGCCGATGATGAAATACAGTGTAATTAACTGCTTTTAAATGCCAAAGCTGAACTAGGGGAAGAACAATTACACAGTAATCCGCTCTTTCAACAGTTATAAGATCACAGTAACAATATTTGTAACACTGTCTATGACAACTTTCTGGATGACAATAATGCGAACAAATGTTGTAGGTATTTTCCATGGATATTATAACTTACTTGGGGTTCCGAACACGGGCCACGAATCCAAGACACAGTGCTAAGCAAGAAAATGAACACAATATTGTTATGTTTGGGCCTGAAAATGAAATATTCGCAAGAACGAATGAGGTGATTAGTATCAACATCTCACCTCACCTGACAATTGTAATATTAATGAGAGCAGTGGTCGAAGGTGACGTCAGGACCAACAAAATTGAAAGCTTTCAATTAGAAAACAGCACGCTTCTTTCCAAACGCCAACCAGCCACAACACAACAATAGAAATCGCAATGAGGCTTTTAACCAATAACGCTAAAGCCTGATAATTGCCTCGAATCAGCACGTTCTAGTTGAAACATGAGATAGTCAAAAAACCTAAATGACCGTTATTTTAAGATTATTCCAGTCCTTTTTCATTTCTGTTTGTTTGTTCTGGCCTTTCCCAGAGTTTTGGCAGTACTTTTGGAACGAGAATAAAGAGGTAATCGGAGAATCCAGCTTTTTATATGTGTATGTTACTATTATTCACCAGGCAGGTCGTTGGGATAAATACGGAATTTCAGGTGACCCTGAACATAACGAGATGTCAAAAGAGGGTCTGACAACAACATGTCTATCAAGTTTGAGCTTGCAGTTCATCACAATGTGACGACAAGAAGAAAACGTGTTTCCTGCAGTTAGCTCATGTGGTTAAAAGAGTGTTCATGTATTGATCTAGTTAGAGTACTGATTAGGTCGCTCATATTATCTGTTCAGTATCAATAACTTAACAACTGCACATTCATAATGAAATTCTCCATCGTTATTTCACCTAATATTCAGGGTAGAGCGTAATACAGCAGGTAGAAACCTCTAGTTAGGCGATTGAAACCTACGAGCCTTTTATACAATAATATTGGGTACATTCATGGCCACACATTAAAATAATTAAGGAGTCACAATACAGTCTTTACTACAACATGATTGGAAGAAGACTGTGAAGCAGATACGTAATAAAGTAACACTAACTTGGGAAAGGTATTACACATAACAACAGTTTGTAGATCACAGGATAGCTTACAAATAGGAGAGAGCTGAAATACAATAGTTCAGGGATTTTACAACTATAAAAAATAACTGGAGGTGGGACTATCTCTAAAGTTCAACTTTGCTAGTATTTGTCCTACTATGGCACCTCAAAATCCCATTAGGAGAGATTAAGATGTAGTAGTAAACTAATTCCCGTCTTGGTTTTGCTCGAAATGTCACTATATTAAGGTACCTGACCAAAATTTTGCTCCAAGTCACTTCAAAATATGCAGGAAAATGAAGCTCTTCCTACAATCAGCCAGCTCAGATATGATGGACTACGGTCCCATTATCCTCTACCACATCCAAGTCGTCCACTTCCTTTATTAGAGTTAGTTATCGTATACCTCAATAATATTTAGCAAACTGACCAACTTCCACTGATCGATCCTCTAATAAAGAAACGGCTTTGATTAGGTCTTGAGCTAGCTAGGTCTCAGTAATAGTTCATTGCCTTTAAATCCTTAAACCAGAAAACCAGTGAACCCTTGTGGGGCAGGTCTGTTTAAAAAGTCACTCTTTCCATCTTAGAAAAGACGTGTGATTCATCCTCCCCCTGTTTCTTTTGGAATGGACGATTTGTTCTCCGATACCAGCCTCTCTTTTTGCTTTGGCAGTTTGCAAGCTTCTTTTATTCTTTCCACAGCTATATAAGATCAAATAGCGAAGTTTTTTTCTGGGTCTCTTCTGTTTTTTCGTCTTTTTGTATCTCCTTATATTGGAGGATCATTTACTACTTCATAGATTTGAATCTCAGTCGCGATAATGAACTCGACAAAAATTGTAGATTGATCGCGCAGATTGATTAGGCGGAAATATAACACTATGGTACAAAAGCCCATTTTCTTTGAACAAGTTAAGTCATGCATCCTCAGCTTTCATAATGCTAATGACAAAAGTGTCACAGACGAAACGCAATTTTTACAAAGCTTATGTGAGGCTGTAGAATCTGTCTTACGCATGGGACTAAAGTGTAGTCATCGCTTAATAAAGCGAAAGGATTATTGGAACTGGATGAAAAATATTCCACGCATTTGCGAGAAATGGGAAATATTTGTCCACCCAAGTTACTTGGAGGCAGTTAATCACGTAAGTGGTATTCAGTTAGCAATCCATTGATTGCTAATGTATGTTAACGGTTTGTAATCGTTAATATGGATACATATATGTTCGTATACAGTGGTTTTTACACATATACATAACAATCGCTTCAAAAAATTCAGATGTAATATTCAAATATTCAAATACAATAGCCAAGTTGTCGATGACACTATATATAGTGACCCTATAGGGTCATGGTTTCATGAGCTATTGGATAACTGTATTGCATGTGTCAGTTTTTACACAGAATACTTAACATATACTTGATATGGCACTTTCTTTCTATATCTTCATACAAGCCCACAACCTTACTTTTGATTTCATGTATCACATCTAAGACTGACAAGAATCACAATAATTATTCAGTTGCTTATCTGAATATGCTGTTTAAACAACATTAAACATGCATACTTTTTCGTTCTCTTAAAGAACTACATATCGAAGAGAAAACTACCAAAATCCTTCAGAGTGGTTTGGTAGGAAGCATACATTCACCAGAGTGGCCTCATTTTTCCCCAGTTTCAAGGGTTTTATACAAGATACAAGCTTATTTTTATACTTATTTTAAACATCGGGGCAAATATTTTCAGCCTTGTTTCGTCATCCTAGTCTGTTAGGTGGCTCTGCGTATAGTTCATTTCACTCTACTACTGAATAGTGGGAAATAAACCCAATCCACCAACTGAATTTATTAGGTTCATATTTATTTTGGAACAGGTAAGTCCAGAATATTTGTGGTATGGTTTGTGAAACTATTCTCTCCTCCTCGTCATATTTCGGAAACTTTAGCCGCATCACCTTTGTTCCTTATCAATCATATTATATAGTCTAAACATTTCATCCCAGCAGTCACGATATTTTATAGTCTGCTTTACGACGGAAGTATTTTATAAACATATCCATATGCATATTAGTGCATTTTATGCTAGTTCATTCTGTCATACTATGTATTTATAATATGGTAACCGAAACAGCTAACACACCGAGGCTACCGGTACCTAATCAACTGAGTCTTTGCTTATTCACATGTAGAAAGTACAAATAAACTTATTTCCCTTTGATATAGATCATTTTACTATTCTGTTTCTCCTTGTTTACTGATTTCCCTAATTAAGTTCATTTTGTCCTTTAATTTTACTTTATCGTAAAAACTTGATTTATATTTGATGCAAACATTTGTCAACTTTTTTTGGTTGAATATTTTGAATACTGTGATCTGTCTGCCGACATCTAATACACTTGATATGCTGATACAAATCATAAATATTCGGATAAGATTGCTTTTTTAGCCTTGCTGTTTTTGTTTTATGTGAAGCCATAGTTACGTGCCTGTTTATATCCGATATATTTGATTAGATGTTAGCTATTTACAGCAGTTCGAACTAGCTTGCTCATAATGGTGTTCGAGATTGGCGATCAAATCTTAGTCTTATATTGTTTAATAAACATATGGTTAGTGATTGAGTATTGGAAGCCCTGCTACCATGTTACTTTAAAATTTAAGCTTTATACAAGAAGGCCATAGTGATCCAAGGTAAGTTTGACTTACTGCTAAACATAAACGTTTCAAACAACTAAGCAAATCATCAGAGTTTACTTTTATCGTGTTAATTAGTTTTATCGACCAGATGGATCATCATATCAGAAGCAGGTAACGACAGAAGCTTGGGAACAGGTAGATTTGATGTGCTTAAAAAGTGGGCGTGTTCATAGGTGGTATAAATGGGAGCTGTACTGTGAAACCCCATAATTTTTCATTTTCTTGTTTGTTTCCTACTGATAAGTAAATTGGTACGATTTTATTATTTATGAATTACGCAACTTTTTGTCATATTTTATTGAGCAGTTTCGTTTAGCATACGTTGATTTATGTCAAATTGATTTTATAGGTTCACAAGTGCCGTAGTGTCACCACTGCTCAAGGACGTGGGCGTCTCCTTATTCGTATGTTATTGAGTTCCGGAACTTTGGATTTCCCATTTAAGTTACTGCTGAATAATATGCACTTATCAGCTACATTCTATGAGGAGTCCGAGTCAGTTATGGGGAACGATATTCTTATTCAAATATTTTCTTCTCTTGTCAGTGAGGTTTGTCGGATTCCTTTTAATTTGAATGTGGATAATACGGAATTCCTTGATGAAACATGGTGTCTTCCAACATTTAAGACGTTTACATTCGTTCCATGCAAGTATGATACATTACATAATAAATCATGGTACAAATGTCTCGTATTTAATTTTAGATTTTAATGTAATTCACCATATTTTTCAGCTTTATGGTCCAAGCTTTAGTGTCAAACGAATATTTACACACTTGATGACTATATAAATCCATCAAAAACTGCATTAGTTGAACCATATATACTGTAGCTTATGCTTTACTGGAATGAATGTAGATCACCATACATGTTTTTCATTGAAAACCTTCATTCCTTGATAATATAGGGAAAATATTTTACGCTTTGACATACTTCTTTTTGTAGTATCAAACTTAAGAATGGCCGACTGCACCACTTCCTCGTTAAGTAAAATAAAGACTTAGATGTCGCATCTAAGATTACAACTTTGTTACAATCATCTTACGTAGATCGTTTTATCCAATATGACATTTGAGACTATTAAAAAAAGCTAGCTTGATAAGAGGTCAGTATTTTAACACTAACTGAAAATCAAAAATGAGTTACATTGACTCAAATATTTGTATTTTTAGGTCTGAAGTACATCGCTCGTATCCAGTCGACAAGTAAAGTTAGTGCAATAACTGTAGTAGCAGGGAAATTAAAATGAGTAATATAATGCAAAATAGTCTTGCCATTACTTAAGGTGTAGTTCATTAAAATTTCGTTCAAATGAATCTCATTTTGTTTTTTATATTAATGATAATACCTTTCCAACAGCTTCAAGATCCTAACCTTACTCAATAGGTTCTCAAAGTTATTTAGTAATTCATTAAGACATTGAATTTTCGTACCAATTAAATTCATATATAGCCAAATTATAAACTGTGATTATATTTCCGAATGCTCTTTTAATTGTTATCATGATATGTATTGTCTACGGTTTCGAATTTCATTGGATTATATGGTGTAATAATTATCTGAAATACTCATATCAACATGCTAAAAAACTGTTTTTAATTATAAAGCAGCATATTATTTGTAGGTGGGATTCATCATAGATTAATTGTAGTTGCAGTACCATTAAAAGTCAGAGAGCACCGGGTAGCTGTCTCGTCCTAGCATAGAATTTAGTAATGCTCGCTCAAGACTCCACGAGAGATCAAACTCAGGACCTTCAGATCTGGCGGCAAGTGTTTAGCCATTATAATCATTGCGTTGATCTCTATTGATTTTCACTCATAACTTCGAACAGTTCACATTCAACTCATCATCCAGTGGCACTGGTAGCAACTTTGTCACTTCCTACATGGATGAATTCCATGTCACAAATTCCCACTTAAACTCTGGGAATTAGTCTCAAACTAAGTCACATTATTACCTTATACCTCTGTTTTGGCTTATTTTCACGTGGTTTATGATGTGTCAATTTGAGTTTAAACTCTATATCATTCAATAACTGGTATTATTTAGATATTCTGTCCTCTAGAAATAGTCCTTGTTACTAGTTTTATAGTTTCTACAATCCCAAAAGACTCACCGAGAAAAGTAATGGACATGGATAACTGTATTTTTTTAAAATTATTCTTGGCTATTATCTGATGAACTAAAAGCTAAATACTTCGTTTGTGAACTTTTTTGGTTTGTATTCTTTAATATTTTTATTTTCACTATTTCTACATACATGCTTTATGATGACTACGACTGGAGAGAATACTTTCGCTCTAGTTTGCATTCTCGCCAACTATGTTTACAATTGTTTGGTTACATACAGCTTTGTTTTACATCGCATCACTTATTTATTCCTCTTTGTTCCCATTTTGTGTATTGTTTTATTTCTCAACTCACATGGTGGCTCGTGTGTGATGGAAACCCTGTTATGTTTAGACGATTTTAAGCCACTGGCTGATAAAAGTTTCGACTAATTTAATGGAATATTATTGTTGATACAGCTTTTACAAAACTGCGTATGCTATTAAAACTGATCTTCAACGTTCACATACTGATGCGGATCTCACGACAGATAGGTTTGGCTGTCTTTGGAAAGTCATGAAATCGAAGTTCCCTGTATATCCAAGACTCGTATTCAAGACTCCAAAAAAGTACTACAGCTTCGTTATTCATTTATTGAATCGAAAAACTTGTTTCAAGTACACTTATCTGGGAACTGTATGGTATCTTCGTCCGACTGGGCTGTCGTCAGTGTCATGCTAAACGCCATGATATCTGTCAGCTACAACGTAGGAACAGGCACGTATATGCACCGGTCCAAGTTGCCATACCTCATCAGCACAACAGGATGAACACCGAATTCGTAGAAATATTCACTTCAATAGTAGTAATGTATAGAAGAAATATTATGTATAAGGATATAATACAGGAAGAAGGAATTAGTTCGTAGAAAGAAAGGTTTAAGGCAATTTTAATCTCACGGTTTAAGGAACGACAAGGAGTGTATACACCTGCACCATTGTGATCGATGCTGAGCCATGTCGCTCAGAGTCTCCAATGATTGGTTACGTTGGTTACACGAGCCCTAACCAAGTAGTCTGCATCTACCAACATGGCTCAGATCAGAAGTTAGTGACTCATAAACTGATACCACGTTTTGGTTTGGTCGCCCTTAACTTTCTTCCAGCCGTCTTCAACACTAGTCAGCATTGCGCGTTGTGGTAATCGGTGTTGAGGCATACGCAACACATGGCTCAACCATTTCAATCGATGAAGATTTACAACCTCATCAACTGATTTACCATCATTCCGTAATGCCCTGCGTCTAGCCTCACTATTACTTACACGATGAACCCAGCAGATACCAACAATATTTCTAAAGCATCTGTGGTCAAATACTTGTAGCTTACGAGTATCTTCAACTCTTAAAGGCCATGTTTCGTAGCCATAAAGTAGAACGAACTGCTGGACAGTATACTCGTCTCTTAATTGATGTACGGATATCACGCTTTTGCTATGGGTGACGTAGGTTGGCAGAAACCTAACGAACTTTTCAAATCCGTGCTGAGATTTCGTCAGACGCCAACCCATTAGGACTGATCAGACTTCCAAGATAAGGAAAGTTGTCAACGCGTTCGACTACTTCACTCCCTATCCTTAGTTCAGGTGTTGACTCAGACCAGTCCTGAAGCAACAACTTGCATTTAGAGGAGGAGAAGCGCATCCCAAACATTCTGGCAATGTTACTCAAAGCTACCAAAAGACTCCCCATTTAATCAGCGTCTTCACTAAAAAAGGACTATATCATCTGTGTATTCCAAGTCGATAAGTGGACTTCGTGGTAGACCGATGCCAAAAATTTCAGTCGACGGGACTGTTGAACAAAAATGGAGATAGTGAACAGCCTTGACGGACACCACATGTGATCGCGAAATCAGATGACAGTTCACCATAAGTTCTGACTTAATTAATAGTGTTAAAGTAAAGAGCCTTTACAAGGTTTATGCACTTCTGAGGTACGCCTTTCAATAACAGACATTTCCACAGAACATCTCGGTCTACAGAGTCAAATGCTGCTTTTAAGTCAAGAAAGACCACCATTGTCAGACGCTGATAAGCATGTCTGTATTCTAGAACCTGACGAATGGTGAATATGTGGTTGTTGCAGCCACGACCAGGTCTGAAGCCAGCCTGATTTTCTCGTGTCTCATTTACATTTGACTTCTTAATTCCAGTTTCTTTTAGTGGTCTGAAAAGCTGCCTTTTCAATCTCCTTTGCTTTCGTTGTCCACCACTACTCACAATCCTTCCTTAGACTTTTGGTTAGCCTAGATCTGATTTCTTTACGCTCTTTATCGTGTTCAGAACCTGATGGGATGAGTTTACGAGAATCTATCAGTGCAATAGACCTTGACGAAATCCATTGGTTCTTTGTAACCCTGTGGTTTAAATCACTGGTAGATGTCACTGCTGTTTCCACAGCTGCTTGTATAACTTTCCAAGCAACATCTGGGTCAGTCTCGTTTTCAGAACCACCTAAGTGTGACCTTAGACTTTTGGTTAGCCTAGATATGATTTTTTTTCGCTCTTTTTCGTGTTCAGAGACTTATGGGATGAGTTTACAAAAATCTATCAGTGCAATAGGCTTAGTAAAAATTCGCTGATTTTTCGTGGCCCTTTTGTTCAAATCACTAATAGATGTCGTTGCTGTTTCCACAGCTATTCGTATATCTTTCCAAGCAACATCTGGGTCAGCCTCGTTTTCAGGACTGCCTAAGTGTGTCCTCAGTTGTTCCTGGAATCCTTTTGTGGCTTCCTCGTTACTGAGTTCTACTCTAATGGGTCTTAATGTGATTTTCCTACGTCCAGTGAAGCGAACACGTGCTCGCATTAGAGCATGGCTGGAGTCCAAGCAGGTACCCCAGAATGAGCGACAATCTTCTATCGACTCTCTCCAACGATGACTGATGACAATATGGTCTATTTGAGTCCATCGTTGGTTTGGTGCAGGGGGTCGCCATGTTAGACGATGTCTCTCCTTATGCTTAAAATTAGTATTTACTAAAATTAAACGATTGTCTGAGCACAGTTGCAGCAGACGATCACCATTATCTGTTCGCTGAACCGGGATACAAAAACTACTCACCTAAATGTCTTTCTGTTTGGTTTAAGCTACCTACCTGGGCATTAAAGTCACCTCCTACGAGTACTATGTCTGAACGTTTAGCTTTCTGAAGAAGTTCAGACAGCTTTCTGTAAAATTCATCTTTCACTTCATCCGTACTGCAGTCAGTGGGAGCGTAAGCAGAAACGACGAAAAGGCAACGACGTGTGTCCCTATCCTTCCGAGTTCTTACCGAGCCGTTTAGCCGAACAGCGCATAGACGACTGTTTACGGGGATCCACTCTAATAGCGCTTGTTCTGCCCTCATGCTTAGTGCTATGCCTACACCTGCCAGTCCACGAGAACTAGCCATCGGGTCGCCAGATACACGGAGGGTGTATCTCGTTGGCTCTCCGTTTTGCCGAGGTGAGGTCAAGTGAATGACCACACTAGGATCCTGTATGCGTGTTTCGGAGACACAGCATACATCAATGGTACGAGATTCTAAGGTTTTAGCCAAGAAAGCCTGCTGACCGATTTGGCATAGTGTGCGTACGTTGAAGGCTCCAATGTGTAGTTTGGAGCGAGGTTTCAGTAGACCTGGGACAGTGTTTTGAGCACTAGAATCGTTGGCTGTGGTGACACTTGAGGAGGAAGCTAAAAGAGGAAGTTTAGTGTATAAAGTCGATGTAGGAGGAATAATAGGAATTGAAGAGGTAGGTTGACTATGAATACAGTGGTCTTGAGTGCTGTTAGAGGTATGAGGGCGGTTATCACTTCCCGGTTACCCACATTATGGAAAGGTTCTTCTGGAGGTACCTAAAAAGGATATTGGGTTAGGGGTGGTCTTAGTGACATGAGAGCGTAACCATAGTGCCCAAGAGACAACTGCCTGAGGTCGGTCACACACAACCTTTTTGTGAGTAATTTTCGTGTTAGCTCCGTACTTGTTGAGACCTTACCGCCGGAGACGGATATCCGTGGGATAAGGCGAGGTGCGTATTTCTAGGGTCGACCTTTTCTAACCCCACCCTTCCTTTGTGGGAAGGCAGCATCACTGTTTTGCTGGTTGTCTGGAGGAAACACCTTACTGCTGTCACACCTCTGTACAGTCAGCAGTACGACTTTGCCCTTGGACATTGGATTTACTGCTTTTAGTCCTACCGCTCTTCAACCGACCTGTCTGGCATGGTAGGACCTTGAGGAACTACTGTTCCAGTCAGTATAGTTCTACTGGTTCATTACTATAGGCAAGCCCGATCACCACGTCAAGGTAGCAGCAACGGCCGGGACTCCATGGTATAGGCAATACTGACCGATTAGTTCCTCAGTAAAAGTCGATTGTGTGAATCAATTGTTTGATGATAAACCCTCAATTCTTTTTAAGAATGATGGTGACCTTCTGGTTAATGAACTGACTGGGTTGTTTGGTTGGGGTTCTAAAAACAGTGCATTACAGTAGCTTGGATGTTATCAGAAATGGCTCAGAATAGAGTCCAGTAGCGGTCCTGGTGTGATCTATTACTTTCTTCATGAAAATGTGGGAAAATTTCTCGAATGAATTGAATTTCTGGTTGTATTTTTCTAACTAAACTGTTTATCCTAATATATACTACTTTCGTACACTTAGTTCTACCAATTTAATTCTTTTTTTTCGATAGTATTTACTTCGTCTTCCTTATTTCTTCACAATTTCATTTTCTTACTTTTTGATATACATTTATTTTAATGTCTTTCAATTGAAACATTAAAAATATAAACTAGGCAAAGAAGTAATTCTTTTCAATTGGTAAGGTCAAAATTAAAACTAAAGTGAAATTATTACAATCATGCATCTCTAAAAAATATTTGCGAATTATTCGACTTTTACAGTCTTGTTACATTTTAATTTCTAATTTTAATATTGGTTCATACGCCATTTGCTCCCTCGGGATATTGGAGCCCATGTGCATCATTGGTTTGGGATCCGGTTAAAGCGCCGGACATTCGCTTTTCGTCCTCTCATTTTCGTAAACAACACCCCCGCCACGGGGGGTCACCGGCTACCATAGAACTGCATCTCCTTACGATGCTCCACTGCCTTGTGGATCAGATCTTCAGGTCGAAGGCTCGGGGTGTGGCCCCCTAAGAAAACCACCTGCTTCGGTTTGGGCACCCGAGCAGTATCACAGCCCTCACACATATCAAATGAGATATGTGTGGCGCATATGTATTTGGTGCCTCCTTGTACCAATATCTATGTGTTAAAATAAATAAATAATAAAAATAATTTTAATATTACCTTACTCTGTTGAATGTTCTGATTATATAATTTTCATTCCACTCATTCTATTGATTACTTATTTTCGATCTCATGAGTAACATGAAGCGTTTATATTTGTATCCAGCTTTAATTTTTATACGTCGTCCTATGTAACTGGTGTTAGTAATTGACCAACTATGAAATTTCACCTTAGTTTTGATTTTATGGAAGTTTTGTTAACTGATTACTAACTATTTTGTTAAACTGATTCACCACCATTTATTTGATATCGATTTTACACTTAATTGTAAAGCATATATATTAGTGTAGGACTTCAACAAGGACCTAATTGAAAAGAATTACTTCATTACTCAACTTATATTTCTAGTGTCTTTTAATTGTTAAAATGTAAAGCCCATGTATTTAGATATAACTCAGTAGCTGACTAACAGCTGATTAATTGAAGTGGTTTTACTGTCTGGTTACCAAAACTTAATGAGTGAAGTGAGTGTAAATTTATGAGTTAGTGGATGAGAACCGATCACCTACAAGACGAAGCAAAAACTCTACACATTTTAATTGCATTACGGTGTCTGACTCAAAAGCGTTCACTTGTTGAATTTAACTCCTTTTCAGATGTCTTGTTTCTTTCTGCTGTTATAGTTTACTTGTTATCCAATTATATTTACAGGTTTTTGAGTTGTAAGATTTCTATATTTTCTCCCTGATTTTTTGCATGATAGATTTGTTAATAATTAAATAATCAATCGTGTTTCATCCCCAATAGAATGCTTGGTGCTCGTGTCGAAACGGTAGATGGCCATTATTTAGTTACAGAAGTAGATCCCACTGGAGTTGTTGCAGAAGAGCATCAGATAACTGTTGGCGATATTCTGTCTACCATGTATGGTTGTATATTACACAATTCTGGACTCTTTTTAAATAATCTTCGGTCACTTTATGATGGCCAACCCATTCCAGTTGGTGTTACGAAAGCTCTAATGCCTGACGGGCGTATATATCCCCGTTTGAGATCTCTTTTAGAGCAATATGGTTATGTCAATTTGATTGCAGATCTTGAAAGATCAGGACAAGGTATTTTATTTATTAATACTACATTTTAGGTTAACTGTAATATTTCGTTAACCTTTTGTTGTTCAGTGACTAGTTATAATTATCATGGAGATTAATTTTTATGTTGTTACTCCTACATGGGTATGGCTGTGTGAATGTTCCTTAAGCCATATATTATTCTCGATATCTTACTAAATAGAACCAGAAAACTTCAGGGAAGTCAATTATGAAAGCTAATAGGCTGAAGTCACTAGAAGTAGTTTTAATTATGTTCTATATGTGTCACCATTATGGTCATACTGTCTTGTTTTTAGATCATGAAATAAGGTTAATGTGATTCGGACACAGTTTTCCGATTTGCTGGATCAGGGAAAACTGTAAGTTGGTGCAAGGAAAATACTAATATCCATAATTTGTGTATCGATAGGCAATAATAATGTAGTTAAAATAATTATGATAAATAGCTTACGTAATTTATTCATTCCTTGGATTTATATCAAGTCCAAAATTCAGCAAATTTTACTTTCTATTGTTACTTCTGTTTAAGGTTTTTCAAGTTGACAAACAGTTATGAGGGTATTAAAGCCTAATAATTATCAGCTAATTAGAAGCATTATCGTTCGTGTAAAACACCAATAATATTATCGGTATAGGGTTTTGGAAGTCGCTGAGTTTTAATTGAGTTCATGAACTGATCAATGTTTATTTATTCTTATTTGAACACATAAATATTGGTACAGGGGGACACCAAATATATATGCGCCACACTCATGATTTTAGTGCGTGGCCTGAGATACTGCCCGGGTGCCCGAACCGAAGCAGGTGGTTTTCTTAGGGGGCCACACCCCGAGCCTTCGACCTAAAGGTCTAACCCACAAGGCAGTGGAGCATCGTGAGGAGATTCAGTCCCATGGAAGCCGGTGACCAAGAAATTGGTTCATACGCCATTTGTTCCCGCAGGATACTGGAGCCTATGTGCACCATTGATTTGGGATCCGGTTATAGCACCGGACGTTCGCTTTTCGTCTTCTCATTTTCGCAAACAACACCCCCGCCACGAGAAGGCAGTGAGTAGGACTTCCCTGGCAGGGGCTGTATACGCGTGGCCGTGTGAGAGTATTTCGAGAGGGAGGGCTAACCCTCCCCGCTCTCAGCCATACCAGGGCATTTGGGGGCTGATCAATGTTAGACTACCATTGAAAACCTAGAAGCAATAAACAGCCGTTTTACCCTAGTATGGAACTTCTTAGCAGTGGGACATGGGCCCAAGACCTTTGACCCGACCGTTGCTGCTACCTTGACGTGGTGATCGGGCTTGCCTATAGTAATGAACCAGTAGAACTATACTGACTGGAACAGTAGTTCCTCAAGGTCCTACCATGCCAGACAGGTCGGTTGAAGAGCGGTAGGACTAAAAGCAGTAAATCCAATGTCCAAGGGCAAAGTCGTACTGCTGACTGTACAGAGGTGTGACAGCAGTAAGGTGTTTCCTCCAGACAACCAGCAAAACAGTGATGCTGCCTTCCCACAAAGGAAGGGTGGGGTTAGAAAAGGTCGACCCTAGAAATACGCACCTCGCCTTATCCCACGGATATCCGTCTCCGGCGGTAAGGTCTCAACAAGTACGGAGCTAACACGAAAATTACTCACAAAAAGGTTGTGTGTGACCGACCTCAGGCAGTTGTCTCTTGGGCACTATGGTTACGCTCTCATGTCACTAAGACCACCCCTAACCCAATATCCTTTTTAGGTACCTCCAGAAGAACCTTTCCATAATGTGGGTAACCGGGAAGTGATAACCGCCCTCATACCTCTAATGGCAATCAGGACTATTGTATTCATAATCAATCTCCCAAGACCCTTGGTGTCGCGCGCGAATGCCTAACCTCTATTCCACTGAGGCGGTATCTAACGGTGTCAATGTCTAATTTCAACCAATCCACGATATTGCGCGACCAATAACATCGTTTAGCGTTAGTCAAATAAATATTATTGGTGAAATCAAAGAAGCATTTATCAAGCACAGTATATTCTTGGCAGAAATTAGTTCTGAGAAATGCATTTGTGTTTAAAACTAAGCAATCCACTAACAAATTGTTTATGATCAGTGGCAAGAGACATTTTAATGATCGAAACTATCATAGTAATTACCTACTAATTAGTTTGAAAATTACTGATCATGTTTGATAGTTTTTTCAATTTGGTGAGGAACAAAAAGTTCTTGCACTAATATACGTATTTTTGTCGTTCTTTTTTGTTATCATGGTTGATAAAAAAATCAATGTGACTTGTTACTACTATTTGCTTATCAACTTTTTAAATACATTATGTATCTGCTCAGTTTATCAAACTCGTTTTGTCCTACTAAATTTAATTGCTAAATATGTCGGTTTTAACATGTCTCATATTTACAAACACAAAATCATTACTTATAAAGCATGGACAGTAAGCTTTGTCATGCACACTGAATTTTGTTGTATCGACTTAGAATGTTAGTTTGTAAATTTTTATAGTTGGTTTTCTGAATTGAAGCATGTATCAAAGGACGAGAAACATTGGTTCAAGATCAAGCTAGTAAATCTGGGGAACTAATGTTTAATCCCACCAGAAGTCCTCATAAGTTCATTACTGGGAAAATATAGAAAATCCCTCCCCCACATCTTAAAAAATCAAATACCACAATTGTTGTTCCCCTGTGCTTTAGAAAGTTTCAAGAAAGAACTAATCGTATAGAAATCGTTTGTTGTTGTTACATGTCAGTTTTAATAATTCAATCATTGGTCAGATAGACATTGATTTTTGTGTACTTTGCTTTTTGGTTTTTCCCACTAGTTCATATTATTGACAATCCGAAGTTTCTCAACCAGGAACCTTGGTATAATTTTCTATATATTGGACAATGTGAAGTGGGTTCAAGTGGTGGAGTTAATTTGATAAATCAATCTATTGTTTCTGTTCTAAGTAATTTAAAAAATTCAGATGAGCAATGTCCTGTGCACATTGAATTGGGTAAATGAATGCTTATTTCTTTTTTCGTTATATTTATAATAGTCATATTGATGGTTCATCTAAGTTTTTTACTGTTGACCTTAGAGTAATGATTTACTTAGTTTCCTTGAAGTCTTTACTAGCTTCTTCTTATGTAATTGAGTTACATAGGTCTATCGTTAAGGTAGTTACTGTTCTTGTTATAGTTTCTGGAAGTATACTACCTTCGTTTTTTTTTTCGGTCTTTACTAAACACTTGTTCACATAAACAGTATGATCGGACTGATACACATGTTTAATATGAACCCTAGTTATATTCATTAATTCTTTAGTCTCAGAGTTATATATGCAGCTCAGTTGATATAAGATTCTTTCTCTCTAAAGATTAAGAAATTCCGGATTTTGTGTATGTTAGCGGAATACAGATTGGATTAAAGCACGTTCCGTACAGGATTATGTTAGGACACGCTAATTAGCTATTTCTTAATCAATCAGCGCTGGTGGATACTTGGAAAAGACTCTAGAACCTTTTCGTATAAAAACCGTAAATATACTAACGTTTTTCTTATTGTGCTTCCTACTTCCATCTAATCTTGCTATTTGGAATATAATTTCGTTCCTGTTCAACCGTGTTCTGATTTGGGGACTTGCCGAGTGAATTGGTGTCCAAGAATACTAAGCAATAGGAATAGCTGCGTCGTAATAAGAAAAATTATAACAGTGTATTGATAACGTTAAGATCGCTCGATTATCTAATTAAGCTTACGTCTGTGATTTTATAAATTGTGGATTCTGCATTTTTCCACTGAACATTCTCACATTGTCTTCCATTTCTACTATTTTTAACATCGCTCGACTTTAAGTGGTAAAATACAGTAACTTAGTTGGAAAATGTTTTTTCATTTGAGGTGAATTGGGAGTGATTGTATGGCAGTTACAGCGGAAAGATAATAAAGTTTGTCGTAGTGAAGAACCTCTACTACGTCATTCCTATCCACAAATATCTTCATGCGGTCGAAGAACCGATGGAACCAATTATTTCGCATATATAGCCGGTGAGGAATCGTGCACTACAGCTAGTCATTTTACGTGTTATGTATTTGAATCAACGAATAAAGAAGAAGCTAGAAGAATTATATCCGGTTTATCAATGGGCTTTGATAGAACACATTGGACTTTATAATTATTACAGACATAATGAAAGAGCATTTTTAAATAATGGGTATATTTTATAGCGAAAATTCATTCAACACTTGTGATCATTTTCCTTATAAACATTCAAAACAGTATGATATAATTTTCATATTCTGGTTTAATTGATTTCATTTTGGGTGATTTGTTTCATTCCTGTTAATTATGTGATACATTTTTGTGTTTTTGTTTGGTTTGTTTCTTCTCTCTCGAAAATTTACTTCATTTAATTTTATTTTATATTCAAGTAAATATTAATGAAAATATTAGGAGAATATTAAGCGATATCTTTCACTTTTTTTCCATTCTCTTACTTATTTTCCATGTATTTTCGAAATAAACTGCAAATGCTCATTCGATTTATACTTATACGTTTTTATTTGTCTCTTTGTTTATAGTTAATTATCTTTTGCTATTTATGCCTCCCTTTACGTGCGATTTTGTTTCTTAAATAAATCACCACTGACTCTATTGATTTTATGACGTGGAACATTTATTGTTTATTGCATTGTCAAGTTATCTGTGCATTTTGTAATATACATTTTTTTGAGTTATATATATGTGCACCCATGGTGGTAGTGTTGTTGTGTTTTCATGTCTGTTTGTTGTCCTTGAAATCACCTTTGACCTGAATATTCAACTTACTTTCTTTATGGGGAAGTTCAGTAGTCACCTAATACGTAGATCCTTATCTAAACTTTATTTGAAACAAAATTCAAGTTTTTGTTTTAATATAATTGGAAGTGCTTAAGTAGATATTGATTTTCAGTATGGTAACCGTGGTGGTTGTTGAATCTTATTGAGCACATGAAGTACTAGAAGTTAGACAACCATATTAAAAGTGAAAGCACTGGACAACTGTCTCGTTCTAGCATGGGACTCTCCAGCAGTACGCATCCACGACTTCACTACCCGGGATTAGACCCACGGTCTTCGGTCTCACAATTGAACGCTCAACATCTAGATTACTGAGTCTTCACCTGATGGTGTACAAGTTTAGCTTCAGTCAATCCTCAATACTGTCCGATCATCTCCCATTATCTTCAGTGGATATATTCTTCACAACACCTGACACGATGTAGCTCCAATGTTCACAGTTTTTGACTGGCTAAAGCTAAACTTGTACACCGTCAGGTGAAGACTCAGTAATCTAGATGTTGAAATGTTCAATTGTGAGACCGAAGACCGCGGGTTTGGTCCCTAGTGGTGGTGTCGTGGATGGATATTATTGAGATATTGACTTATCGAGTGAATCGGTGTTATTATCTAAGAATTGTATTCGATTTCATTAATCGTTGAAATAATAACTATTTTAGGCCTACTTGCTTTTGTTTGTTCACGTATAATATCACATATGAATGCACACTTATTGAGAGAACAATTAGATATTTTTGAAATAGGTTTAATTATTTCCAATAAGTAAATTTGATATACGGGTAGAATGACTTAATCATCTACCTACAGAATTGCATCTGCATTATAATTGATCATTTTCATTGTAATCAGTATACTTTAAATAATATGTAACGTCTTTGACCTAAACTTATTTTTAAGGTTATTATATTTTTTCTACCCTTGTGTTTGTCAATGTTGTAGTATACCAATTCCGTTGTATGACAAATTTCAGTTAAAATTCGTGTTCTTTCGTATTACTTTAATTTGTTATATATCTTCGGTAATTGCAAATAAAGGTCTCTTAGACTGAATCAGAGTAAATTTATTTTTTATAGGTCGAATCTATGAATAACAAACTAATTTTTACACATGTGACAGTAAATGTATGGTAGAATTGAACGCACTTTACTACTTGGAATTCACTAGTGTCGAAACATGGCAAAGAACGTTCTCGATTAAATCATGAACGTTCAAGAACCTACTTGATACTTCTCAGGAATTTTGAATCTGTTGATCAAATCTAGTCGTCTACATTTCTCCGTAGAGTATTCTAAAAATTACTAGCTTCACAAACCAGGACTGTTGTGCCTGGTTCTATACAAGTTTTATGCTTTCAGGAATTTATACTTAATTTGTTATATTTCAAAAATAGGGATTATTTCCGAAGGACGTCTGTTCCCATTTTGTTTTGATGAGTCCTTGTGCGATTTCCCCATTCATAATTAGTATGGTTAAATATATCGTTTATATAATGTTGATTGTATTTTAGGAAGTTGAACTATCATTCATGTTATTATTTTGGCTTACCTGTAGAACTTGCATCTTCCATTTTCATCGGTTTCTAATTTGAAAAATTTACAGGTAAAGTAATTCATATAGAGAGATGATTCAGAATGAGTTTGTTTCACTAATGACAAGGAGTTATGGATTTCATAATTAGAAGTTTCTGCATATTCAATTATGTGACTGGATGTAAAGGATAGTTTATTACGTCTTTTGGAGAAAAAGATTAAATTAAGTTTGAGTCTTCTCTTCCATAAAGGGTCGAGACCATGTTTATTACATCTAGAATTATAATTCAAGGTACAATCAATTCTAAGAATCCGAAGTGTAAATCGTTTCTGTACTGATTCCAACCTTAATTTATCATTTATGTACAAACTACTAAGAATAAACGTGCAGTATTCTAGGAGTAGTCGAATACATCAAAATACATGACTTGTTGTTATAAAGGTTTCGAGTTATGCAACCTATAAGACATTGAGATTTGGAGGTCTGTTTCAATACTTGTTCTGTAAACGACAAATCGTAGGAGTATTCAGGTTTTCCCTGTTTTCTCCATGTCTAGTTAATACGATAAACTTTTCGAGTATAAACTTTGTGTACACAAAATGTTAGAATTAGCAAAACATAAACAACACTGTCTTCATAGAATATCATTTTTAAATAACAAGATTTATTGCCTTCAGTGTAAAAAATAGATTTTATTCATTTTACTAAATCGTCTGAATGTCTCACAGCATTTATACAACAACAACAAGAACTGCTCACTACTACCTGTTCCAAAACAAGAACAGTACAGTTTTTCAATATTAATATAAAAACAACATACTTGTTTAAACTTATTTTATACTGTAACAGTTCGATAATTTTAGATTTGTTCATTTCTTTTATTCAGTTGATAATGTATTACTGATTGTCAGAAAGTAAATAAATGTGCTCATATCATTTATAATTATTTAATCATTAGTTCAGACACTAAATTTAATAAAAATAATGTACATATATATCAATATTAGTCTGCCATGGGTAATGTTGAGTTCTTTTCTTGTGCGAATTAAGTAACATGATATCACTGATATACAGTTAAATGCTTATACTACTTAGTTTTAAATAAATGCTTTTATAGCTTTGTATGAGAATCAACTTAGAATGTAGTCAAGCATTTAAACTGGAGTTATTAATTGATATCAGTTACGTGTTAATTTTGTACCAGTTGTATATATTCCTCCAATAAAAAGTACATTTATCGGTGCACTTTCTGAGTAAATAAAGTGAATAACATTCTATATCATTAGTTACTATGTGTAAATTAATCTTGGTTATCGTAACATGATTTTAAAGCTTTCTAAAATAAGATTCGAGTGTTTATGTTAACAAATATAGTCTTCCTATGTCTAGTTAATATTAACAGTATAAATGCTTGAGTGTATATCCAGCTTCACTTATAGGTCACAGTTCATCGTGTATTCAAACGAGTATACGATACAGTGTGAATGGATGTTTCGTAATTTGATGAACCAATAACTAGTGACATTTAGAAATGATATACAAGAAGAAAAAAGTGTTTACAAAATTCAAAATAAGTTGAGTTAAAAAAGTTACTGAAGCAAAACGAACACTAATCCTTCCAATAATAAATGATGCATAGATGAAAACCTGAAATTTGGCCACACGATCTAATTATGTTTATAAATTGAAGAAATGGTAGATTTCCAGGGAAACTTAAATAACATTTTCTCACATCTAGTCTCATTTTTTTGTGGCGTCACAACAACAAATTAGTTAGTTACTTTAATCGAAAATGCTTACATAGTCATGTAATAGAAGTAATTTTTATCAAAAAAGCTCTCCATAATGACTCGAACTACATTGTTATTTGTAGGTCGATTTAAAAATATAATTAATATATTCCTCTGTTAGCTACGTAATAGTAAAAGTAAATTCAGGCTACTGGAAAATGCACAAAGAATGCATTTTATTTGATCAGTGCTGTTCATTTATAAGAGACAATATAAAGTAAATTTAGTGACAGTAAACGTCGTGTCATGCTGTGCTAATTGCTATAAAAATGTTTCCCATATTAAATTCACATGCGAAAAAAATGTTCCACACGAAAATGTAGTTACTGAAATATGATTTAAGTAGTGCTGTGATTTTACATTATTGGAAGGATACATTTTATGTAGTGTAAATTAATTTACTGCAAACAAAAGAAAATTTACCCAATAACTTTGTTCTAAATTATCAAGAGGAAGGGAATCCCCATTATCACTTAAACACAAAAATATGCTCTCAATTATGTAAAGTCAAATGTTAGGTGACATGAAGTATCTACTATACTCCAAAACTTCGTTTTTCTGGCAATAAGTTTTAATAAACAAACAAAATAAATGGAATTCACCACACGAAAGAAACCTTAATCTAGCAAGCTATTATATCTGCAAATCATATAAAAGTCGACAATGCTCCCTTATATGAACGTTTGGGATTTGATTTAAACTTGAGATCGGGTGATTGAGAAATAATTCCCTAGATCTTATGAAATTGTTCCTTTCAGATTGGTTTAAATCATTCAAGTTCGTTGTTTTAATAAGATAAACGTTCAAAAGAGACTCAGGATTATTTGATAACCACATTTGTTTTCACTAATTTTTCTCAACGATTTGTAATAAAAGCACATAAAACACTTAAGTCAACATCTTATTAAAAATATCGGACATTTCGATTAGTCAACAACCTCGCACTTCCTCCCAGAAACTAAATGAATCACAACGTAAACCGTTGAATTTCTTCAAAATGTTTATTAAATGTGTGTAAAGGTATAAAGGGAAAAAAGTAGAATCTTATTTATTAACGCGAAAAAAATTGTGCAATCACTTATGAAAATATGTAATGTATGTAAATGTGCACGTATGTATTCGTATGTGCATCTTTGTGTGTATGTGTTTAAAAGAAAACATGTTTTTCCGTTAAATAAATTTCTGATTTCGTAAAACCAAAAAGAATACGAAGCTAACCAAACCACAGTGACCAAGATGCAAAAAAAGAAACAGCGAAAAAACACTGAAATCTATGAAAACAAAATCAATAAGGTATTCACTTGTAATTCAAATTATAAGTCATCGTTTGATAAAGATGATCCAAAGGAATGAATAAAATAAAGAAGCGATTCATTGTCTTGTCTCTCCTGTTAACTACAAGTCAACTAAAGGATTAATCAGTTAAATGAAATTTGAGACAAAAGATATCTAAAATTATATAAAAAAAAGTTGATACTTGAAGAGAAAAAAATGCATATCACTCTATCATCAACTTTGTATGCTTACAAACGTTTGCTTTAGATATGATCAGCTTAGAAACAACAGACAATAATATCAATACATAATCTGTTGTAAATATGATGATAAACAATGAACATGATTAACTAATAAGTGGATTATAGGATTTGTTGATTACAAAGATATGTAATGAAATTCAAGGTATCAATAGTTTATAAGAAAAAAATGTAAATCAATATCACATAGTAGATTATACAGAATCGAAACACAATTAAGTTAATTAAATTCAATGGATTGTCTAAGAATGCACTATTTTTATCACCGAAATTGTGGTAAAAGGAAAAAAAATTATATATATATATATATATATATATATATATATTTATGTAAAAAAAAGCTGAAAAATATTTTGTTAACTGGAACAATAGGATAGAAGAACAAATCTATTAAAATGATTGGACAGGAATGAGATATTCATTTGCCAAATAAACGCAACATTATTTGAATATAAATACTGAATATATATATGATAAGTTGGAAACAGACAAAGAAACCATTTGTCTTCTGAACAAATAATTAAAACTAAAGATTACCAATAATAATATACAGTATTAACAAGTAGTTATAGACAATTGAATATTTTAAGTGAGAGTAGGTATCAATGGTGGGATTTTAAAATGTTAATGTATAGAAAAATTCACATTTGATTCTTTGAATTATTTTTGTTTTCTACAAATAATTTATCAAGATTTGTTTGTTATAATAGTGGAATCCTTGAGCAAATTTTCAGCATGGTTGCCTATAATAGGTGGATGAAAACAAAAGAAAAAAAATTTAATTGAATTCTTTCGGAAATCTATAGAGAATAATTTTAGGCTGGAATATATCATTGATAATTGTTATGTTTGAAGCGATTACGAGTTCACCTAATCTGCGAACGGAACTAAGACTCTGTGACCAAAGACCAATAAGCTAGATATTCTGATACGTCCCAGACCCGCTAACCAGAGAGGAAACTTGAAGTTCGAACGGGGAAATATATTCCACAAGCAGCCAGAAACACGAGCGATCCCGACTAGTCTAGTCGGACATACACTCATTTATATATTGGTTTGTACACCCATTTTTGATTATTAATCAGAATAAATAAAATGAATAATATTTCATACAAGAATATCATATTTCATTTGTTGAGATCATGAGGCAATTGAAGCTAGACCATCATGGAAAACCTGGAAGCACTGGATGGCCGTTTCGTCCTACTGTGGGACTCCTCAGCAGTGCACATCCACGATCCCGCCTCGGGGATTCGAGCCTAGGACCTACTGGTCTCGCGCGCGAGCACTTAACCACCAGACCACTGAGCCGGTATCCAACGGTGTTAATGTCTAACTTCAACTAATTCACGAAATCGAGCGACACATCCACCATTGTCATCAGTGAGTTACTATCTCACAACTGACCCGGTTGAACTCCACTGGTCACTGCTTCTCACTAGAACTCCAGGATATACATCTTGAGGCCAGTCACTAGTGAGCATATGTTGATTATTATCAGAAGAATATTATATGTTATACAGAATAAAATGTCATGGGGGAAGACGAAACAAATACTTTACTGAATGATCATCAAATTAAATTAAACGGAATTAATGTTGAATTAAAATCATAATGAATAAATCAATCAAATTTTGACCTTTCATCCTGTCATAACAGTAATTCCTTTAAAATATACGTTTGCTTTTATGTGACCATGTTTGATGGAGATCAGTAAGGAAAGGTAAGTACATATATGTACTCTACAATAAAGGTGTACACCGACGGATATGTGCTAAAAGGGACACATCAACGGCTAGCATTAAAATGGTACATTTTATTTGTTCATATAATAATTTTGTTTACGCTGACTCGTTGCTAGACGAGAAGTGAGAAATTTTAAATAAATATTATAAATTTGACTTCACTTGTGAGACATTCAAGAAATTGTAGTATAAAGATATCGAAATGATGTTTTTTTTATGTAGATTGAACTGTTCGTTAATTTAAATAAGTTATTGGAAAAAGAAGTCTTCGGATTAAACATACAAACAGAATAACAGTTTGATCACTGAGTAGCGACTAATATCATGTTTGTTTAATCCTTTAGTACTGATTTAATTCTGTCGACCCAGTTGCAATATGATCCCTAATCTAAGTAACTCGACATCGCATATGGTTCATACTCAACATATTACAGGAATTCATTAGTGGCTTGAATATATATCACAGTAGTGAAGCCTCAGACTGTGTAGCTGAGTGATCTACGATCAAATCATATTGGAAGCAACAATTTCTTTCAGATTGTAGATACTCCTTGCTGGCAACTAGTAGGAAATCTATATTCAAGGTTTTCTGTCGACTACCTCTAACAACTTACAGTACAAACAGCATGTTCTAAAGAAACAATTTTATTCAACATTGATTATAGATCAATACAAACGTATTAAAAGACAAAAAATACATATTACATGAGCTGAAATAATTATAATTAGTAACACTAATTTAGACAATAATTACAACAATATTTGTGATTAAAACTAAATCACATGTAGGGTATTAAAAGTAATGTTAATTAGCATATATATTTCGAATTAGATGAATGTTTGTGTGTGTAAGTATAGAGAAAAAAAGAGAGGAAGCAAGCTGGAGAAACATGTTAACAAGTAAACATAATTACATTGAACAAAGATGGATAGTGGCTAGTAGTGGAAGCTAGGTCTCGCGTTTCGTCCTGTTTGGGACTCGTCAGCTGGATGTACCTGTATCGCAGAGTTGATGTTCACTCCGGGACTCAAACCTAGTGCTGTTCGCTTCAAACTTCATCGCGTAATCCACTTAGCTACTGAGTCCTGATAGCCAACTACTTGTGCAATGGGATGAAGTTTAAATTCACTTGTTGTTTTACTTGTATCTTACCATTGTTATTTAGGTATTGTGGCGATTATTATATTTGGATTTCTACAATACGAGTTGATTCTGTTTATTTAAGCATTGAAAACTAGGAAGTTGTGGGCAACTATTTTATCCTGGTATGGAACTCAGTGATGGGCATCTTAGGCCCTATTAAGAATCGAACCCAAGACATTCAAGACTCATGGAAAGTGTTCAACCTCCGTACTGTTGAGTCGTCAACTAATTTTGGCTAATTCACGATAACGGGTAACCATTACTCATTAACATTGGTAATGTTTGCTTAATTATGGGGAGTTACGTACTAAGGTGAAAAAGGAGTTCAGTGTATTACGGTTTTTAACTAAGATCGGTCCTTGATGAAAACTATGGGAATGCAATATATATATATATATATATATATATATATATATATATATATATATATATATTCGTATTTCTTTTATCATAAGCTTTTATTTGACCTATTGGCTACCCTTATACGATCTACCATTCTCAACTTAATCCCAATCTATTGATTACAATCTCCCACACTCACAACCACTTTGGATTGATCTTTTAGAACTATTATTTTATATTTTATGGTGTAATGCAGTCTGGTCTGCTTGTATATAAATCACGTATTTCTGAAATATGCGATTTACCCATCGGAGATATTGCGTTTCGGACTGAATGGGCTGGGCTAAGCGAGATGTTGCTATATAGAGGACCAATAAGGACTCAGAATTGACTTTAGGCTGCTCGTTCTGGTTAATGCATCATTGGTTTGGTACAGGGACAAGGCTAAATGAGTCTGTGTTCTGATTAGCGATTTTGTCACGTGATATTCGACAGGTCATAGGACATAACAAACAGTCTAAATAAACCCAAGGTACCAATAAAACAATCATCCAAACGGTTGTTTATTTCAAGGTTAACCATATGAACATTGTAGAAGCAATAAATAGGAAATTATAATGAAAGTCGTGTGAAAAAAGATTACATATTAATCTCTTAAAACTGAGGTCACCATGATGAAACAAGGTTGATAATTTTTTTTGAATACATGAATTTAATTAAAATCTTTTAAAAACAATAGCTTCAGAAAAGTGCAATCTTTTGTACTTCCGGTTACTCTAATAGATTTTTGACGCGTTAATATAATTTCCACTGTCAAACAATTGACATAAAATATGTTTATAAAAAGTTTAAAAGAAATCAAATTAACTTGTTAATAATTTTGATGGAGTTTTGTTCTCTGAGCTGAATGGTTTGATCGTGGAGTATTCATCATTCTTCTGAACAACATCATCAGCACAAACTTCAGGTAGAAGTGAAGTGTTCGAATTTCTTGAGATATGACTCACAGCTTTTCCTGTAGACCTCGATGTTGATTGGTTCTTATTAACCTTAAATCCTTCATTGTTTACTTCTTTATTTTGGTTGTATCTCCCATTGGTTTAATTATTAATTAATATTAGAACTAGTAATGTTCTGTTAATATCAAATTAATCATTTTTAAGGTAACTCTGATTTATACACAAATCAGTCTTGTATACAAAACTTACGATGAAAGACCTTGAGAATAGTTTCACATACAAATTGAAATTGACCCTAAAGTCAAAAAAAAATATAAAGAAAGAAAATTATATAAGGTTATATGTATTGAGTTGATTTTAAAAGAAAAGTTCATTGAATCAATCGAAGTGATGTTGTTCAAATTTAATTTGTTTAAAATGATCTGTATAGTTTTCTGTAAAATTGATAAATTAAGTTGATATGAATTTTTAATTATGTAATATTGTTAAACTGTAAACATTTAGGTCAGAAATACTTGTGGTGTATATTTCAAAAGTAATTTTTATCATGAATTGACATCAATAGATAGAGAGGATAAAATGAAATCAGTTCGTATGGAATAATTGTTTGGTTCTAATCTGAGCAGTTAACAACATCAAAACAAGATCAAGTTAAGACATTTAATGTGTTTATATTTAGACTAGTAAGCTGGAGTTAAAACTATCATTTAAACCGTTGACCAATGTCTATAAATTTTTACACTGACATAAATTGATAAACAAAGTTGACTTATAAAATTCTGAACAAGTATTTAAACAACTATCTTTTCAAGTTATATTCAGTTATGTTTTGTAATTTGACGATTTTTAACCTATTACTAATAGGAGATTTTATCGAAGGATGCATGGTATCAAACTTGAAAATATGAGTTGATGGTTATTTACTATTGAAACAGGTTATTATATTCCCTAATCTGATCAGATTTTAAAACTATTGTTAGAGTCTTGTAATGAAAGTTTTTGGCTTCCAGTGGAAAATAAATACACAATTGTTTGTTATTTAAAACAGGTAGTATTTTAATTTCAACACTTATACTGAATTTATGAAACAGATACATAAAAGAAAATTGATCGAGCATAGGTTATAATAGAGAAACATATTTATTTACATTAATTAAACATAACTATGTTCGAGAGATTTAAAAAATTTTATGATTTTTAGTTCACTTTCACAAACTTAACGAAATTCTAAGAGTATAAAGCTTCAAAAGTGTTTATTATTATAATTATAATTAATGGCTTTATTCAATATTGTATTCCGGTGCAATATAGAATTCTCAGCACAAAATATTTCAACAAGTTTTCTTTTCTTATTTCTTGCTCGATCCTGATGATAAATATTAAGTGATCGCCAGTTAGGTGTTAGCGGTTCAGGAGTCAACATCTGAATAATCTTTATTATTTTCATTGTATATTGACAACCACCATGATGTCTCTGATGATCGTACTTTTTTGTAAGTTATGCAGAGAAATTTCGTAAATAATTTATAATAGCGCCTGAATAGGTTATGCGATGAATATAAATAATGATGTGTTTAAACAAACAAACAAAAACAGGTAACTTGTTGGAATATCTTAATGGTAGGAATAGGTAGCCCAGAAATTAAAACAGGCAGTCAATATTTTAACTAATTAGTTTCATAAATTAAGTGGTTTGCTTTAAGCGGTTATCAGGTAGTTAATCAAATTTTATAGGTCAATCACTTTTCTAACTGAGAAAAATATTTTAATTCAATTTATAATAATAACACTAAAATGATACATTTGCTTACAGTGGTTTGAATAAGCATAGCTCTGTGTTCGCGCATTCGTTGAACTAACTCTAAAGGTTTAACTGGATAATTACATTCCATTAAATTAATTGATGTTTCAATAGCAATTAGTACACCAGTTCGACCAATACCAGCAGAACAATGCACAACTATTGGTGCATGATTTTTGCCACGAATTCGTTGAACTTGTTCTACAAATGATATGAGTTGATCAGTATCATTTGGTACACCATGATCTGGCCAACTGATATATTGAAGTTGTGAAATACGACGTGTTTCTGTTTGTTTCCTTAACACTGATTGCAAAGAGGCACGATGTGAAGGAATTTGAGTAATATCGAATTCCCGATAAGCAATATCAGTAATAATCTAATTTGAAGTGAATAGCAAAAAATATATGTATGAGTACAGATCGCAACATGAAGCGCTTGGATAAAATTAGATTGTAAGATAAATGATAAATAAAACTCCCTGTTAAAGTAGAATTTTCATAGTTTTTGAATCACAAACTGATCTTAGCTAGACCACCATTGAAAACCAAGAAGCACTAGGCAACTGTCTCGTTCACAACACGGCTCCAGCAAACCGAACCCATAATCTTCGGTTGATGTTCACAGGGGTTCAGACCCTTCAGAAAAGCCAGTGGTTATCTGGATTCGGTAACTAAATGGATAACGCGTTGAATGACTAAAGTGAAAGGTACTGGATTCAAGTCCCGGTGCAAATATCAATGCAGTGACGCAGGCACATCCGGCAAACGAGTCCTAAATAGAAAGAAATACTCGTCTTATATTCTAGTGTTGGTCACAATCTATTCCTTTCATTAAGTCAGAATGTAATAGTGTTTTATAGTTTTAATAGCTTTTAATTAAAAATGGTGTTCAATAAGATTGGTATCATCAGTACTTACAGATAAAATCATTTTGATTCTATATGTTGGTCATGGGTACACAATGTTCATAAGTTACAAACTGGGTTAAAATAACCGCCTAATACTTTTTGGTTTCTAAATATTTTTCATCCGATACCATTTTGTGATGAAAATTAACTTCGAATCATGTGTCTTAAAAATTACGGAATGACTACTAGCATTCTGAAACAATTTCTGATCAACTACATTTGAACAAAAACGTTTTTGGCGTTAGGGAATTTAGTTATCAACTTTACAAGCAATACATTTTATCAGATATAATACACGTAAGTAATTTTCTATTCACATGAATGCTACGAATAAGAAAATGTGTTTAACCTTTATGTAATATCCATGTTTCTTAACTACTTTATATTAATCAAATTGATTCGTAGAACGTTCAAAATCAAATAACTAGTCTTCTGTAAAACTGGAATTCTTACACCGACTTATAACTTAGTTGTGACAAGTGTTGTACTGTCTGGTTTTTGGTAATCATGGAACCCTATCTAACAAAAATGAAGGTATTTCTCGATGATAAGTATCGATTAGTTCAAAGTCGAAATTTAGGGTTTCATGTCAATAGCCGATAGCCATCCAATATAGAACGAAGTATACTGTATCATTTAGATTAATGAATTCATTGTGACTTGATCGATAAATTTTGGTTAGGATATTAGTTGCTGGCTAGTGATCAATCAGTGTATCCAGATCTTTAGAATTAATTTAAATTTGATAATTATGCATATATTTTCTTACTTTATTTCGGGAGGTTAAATTCCTATTTGTCGAACAAGTCAGTTCTCAGCTCATACACAATATCAAATGATTGAAAAAATACCGTTTAGGGTTCGATACAATTTGATTCTAAAGAAGAATATTCTATGAATGATGGGTGATGACTTTAAAATCCGAAAAAATCAAAAAGATTACCTCCTCTCGTACAGTTTTCAATTGTAGATCTGTTGAACTACGGGACTGTGAAATCCTGGGACTTGAAGAAACAGAAAAGTTTACTGTATGATTAAGATCTGGCCAATACTGATGACACTTTGCCTGTGAAATTGTAAGAAGAAAAAGCTTCACAAATATGCAGAGTGGAAATATACAAAATATGATGAATGTGATCCATTTGTCAAGTCGATAGAATATCAATCAGAATGTGGAAATCAAGAGATGTATTCATACTAAAAGTTAAGGAAACATATGATAACGCAAAATACCTGGACTAATGCTGCGAAATGTATAACTTTACAAAACTTTAGTATGTACTTTTGTGATATGTATCTTTGAGAAGTGACTTCTTCAGGCTAAGATCGGTCAGTAGGTTTAGCCAGGTACAACACAATACAGAATGCAGAAACTTCTCATGATACGATCATAACTGCACAACAAATGGAAGACTGAGTAGTAGGTACGAAATAAAGTAACAACAACTTAAGAAAGATATAATGCATAACAACAGTTCATGGATCATGGAATAGCTTACAAATAGAAGATAAAAATGCAATACTTTAAGTAATTGGTAAGAAACTACAAAAAAGAACTATAACTTTATGTAGGACCAGTTTTAAAGTTCAACTTTACTTAGTATTTATTCTAATATAGCTTTACCTGAAAATGACCAGTTTTTATAAGTGTAGATGACCAAAAACTTTAAGTAACTATAATTTCGGATAAAGAAAATTTTATAATTTATGAGTAACCTTCTATGTTCATATTTTAAAATGACTGATATGAACCGCACAAAAATTGAATAACTGTATAGTCGATATCATAACCTTAATGAATGGTAAATGCTTGTTCTTTGTTTTCTGTCATAGTCTTTCTCTCTCTCTCTCTTTCTCATTCACCCAATCAAACACACACACACAATATGTATATATAATAGAAAATTTAGTAAAACAATATTCAAATAATGAATGAGATAAAAATACATTTTATTATTGATTTAGAATAATTTATGTTACTTGTAATTTTCATTAGAAAATTTTTTGATTATAACTACTAGAGAATTAATTTTATTTATCAAAATGTAATATAATTCTAACGATTTTGTATAAAAGGTAGATACAATATAGAAAATGAAAAAATAAATTCTATGTTTTTAGAATTAAATATACTGGTATCAGAGGGAAATTTATTGTTAAAAATTATATAATATTTAACTTTACCCTGTGATAGCCATTTTCTTTATATTAGTCAAGATTTAAATAGAGAAACTTTATTTGACTTTAATCGCATAAAAAGGAAAAAAACAATGATGGAGTTTTGAATACGTTTTTCTAAACTAAGTAAAATGATGCATCTCAATACTACAGAAGGTCAGGAGCGATTGAGATAGCTTAGTGATAACGAGCAGCTATGAAGCTGGATGATACGGAATTGAATCCACCAGGGAGCATCGATCGGCCCCCTCAAGATTACAAGTGACGAATGCCAAGTAGCACGAAATCTATGTCAACGGTTTCCTGTCGACTACGTTCAATTATTACAATATATTAAAACATAGTGCGGGAGATGTCGAGTCATCTAGAATAGTAGAGACTACTCTGCAACTTGATAGATGGAATTCGATCAGTGCTAAGAGGGACTTAGGTATAAGTGACATTGGCCACTAACTCATTAGTTAGTCGGTTGTAAACAATAACACGACTGAACTCTAGGTCTTATAAAATTTGCTACCTTTTCTATTATATATCTTTTTAATTTGGAAGCAAGGAAGATAAATAAAATACTGTCGTAATTTGCCAGTTTACAATCAATAAACCGTTTTGATGGTATCAATCCGATGTCTACTGGATTCTGATATGCATCAATTAGTATATTAAAATGTCTCATACGTTTTGCTCTGATACAAATGTACCATTTTCAATATATGATTATGAATACAGTGATCTTGAGTGCTGTTAGAGGTATGAGGGCGGTTATCACTTCCCGGTTACCCACATTATGGAAAGGTTCTTCTGGAGGTACCTAAAAAGGATATTGGGTTAGGGGTGGTCTTAGTGACATGAGAGCGTAACCATAGTGCCCAAGAGACAACTGCCTGAGGTCGGTCACACACAACCTTTTTGTGAGTAATTTTCGTGTTAGCTCCGTACTTGTTGAGACCTTACCGCCGGAGACGGATATCCGTGGGATAAGGCGAGGTGCGTATTTCTAGGGTCGACCTTTTCTAACCCCACCCTTCCTTTGTGGGAAGGCAGCATCACTGTTTTGCTGGTTGTCTGGAGGAAACACCTTACTGCCGTCACACCTCTGTACAGTCAGCAGTACGACTTTGCCCTTGGACATTGGATTTACTGCTTTTAGTCCTACCGCTCTTCAACCGACCTGTCTGGCATGGTAGGACCTTGAGGAACGACTGTTCCAGCCAGTATAGCTCCATTAGTTCATCATGATATTATTATTATTGTATACTATAGTCTATATTAGTTGTGACATCGGCATACTTATGAAGTTACGGAAGTAAAAATATACGACCTATAATTATGATTACTTGAAAAATCTTAATCGATCTATTTGAAACCCTGTATATTCCAAAATAACTGACGTAAATTCGTTCGAAAAAAAGAAAATTAAACTAATCATATTAGAATAGTGAAAATGAAATTGAATTTTGTTTTTTAAAAAAAACTTAATTCATTTTGTTTTCCCAAAACTGATAAATACTAGTTTGAAAACTATGAGAAGAAATTTATGAAGTAAATTTTGTTAAAATAAAAAAAACCACTTGTTGTCTTAAATATTGACAAAATTAACGAAAAAATTTCTTAAAAAAACTGTTACTATCGATACTCGTCAAAATGTAACATAAGAAGTTATATTTTCTTCTTTTCAACCTAATTGTGGAAACGATAGACATGGGACAGCCATTTTTCTCTTGTCATAGACATTATAGCAATTCAATTTATTAGAAAAAAACATCCAAGAAGTTAGCAATTATAAAAAATTTAATCAATTATACTTTCCAAAAGAAATTTATACTATTTTAAAGATGGTTTCATATCGAGGTGACATGTTAGAGTTGAGAAAAATATCAATAATGGCATATCATATCAAGATTGAACATACAGAACAATGGATTACAATTCGAGGAGTAAAAAGGTAATATGGTTGCGGCTAGATCTTAAGGATCCTTACTTAGAAGTCCAGAACTAGAATCAATGGTTATTAGATAAAGAAAACTATCGCTGAAGTCACTTAATTGAGTTTGAATTACTTATTCGACTTCATCGAGGATTGAGACTAGAATCTTTGGATTTGTTTATCAGTATGGTACCATTAGAATTAATAATTTTGAGTTCTTTAGTTATCCGTACTTATTTTCCTTTTATATTTATGGTACAGTGCATCTATCCTTCAATATCAATGAAGAGTATCTGTTATCACTTATGGCTTGATTCGTGTAACTAACATCAATTTGAATGTTATAAATCAGTTTTTAAAGTTGGTTGATTATGGGTTTGAAGTTGTTGTCAGCGACGTAAGTAGATGTTTAAACTAAACTCACTAATTTGAAAATAACCAACCTAATGAAGAATTCTCTGGGGGCAACTAGCTCATTTTGCTAAAAGAATACAGTGTAGTTTGAAACAGAAGACCGAAATTGGTGTAGCATATTAGTTTGATAGTACTGTTAAGTACGTTTTATAATTGTGAAATAAATTACAAATTGTCATTTAATCAATATTAAATCAGTTTGCTGTTATAAACCGACTGGTTGGAATATCAAACATGTCTTCAGTTTTACTCTTTAAAGAGTCAAGGAACAGGAATGATTCAGAAGTTGTTATAAGCTGTTATATGCGTTTACATATAGGTATATCACCTTCAGAAAGTTGGTAAATGATTCAACTGATTAAAATAAAAAACTGCTTAAATTTCTCAGTTTTTTCCTCTGAATATATTTTAAGTTGATAAACAATGATTACAGGATGTGAATAATTGAACCTAGTTTTTAATTTATACACAAGGTATACAGCACTATAGAATAGAAAAAGTTATGTGAAGCGATTTCTTTTCAATCATAATGAATAATTGGTAAAAAGCTATCCTCGAAAAATGTGAGAGTTCACAATTGGTAATGAATGAAACTTACTCGACCACGTTCACTTATAGCTGTCAACATAACGATTAAACAAACTTGTTGTTCCCAGCACATTTGCCAAAAATCACCATAAGTATTTGGTAATGGGCCTTGAGCTGCGATATAACGAAGATTTACTCCACATTTTGGGAATTCCATCTGTAATATAAGAAATAACTGAAAATAACTCTAGGGAATTCTTGCAACAATCTAATGTTTTTAGTTTCATACCTAAAATGATTTGTTCAGATTAAAAATTTGCTATCACTTTAATTGATTGTCTAGTATGATCGATCTATAACTGCATATAAGTCTTGAATTATTATGTAGAAAAATGTTTAATAAATATGACAGTCATCCGCCTCAAAAGCTGATATTATTCAATTAACCATTGAAGGGTAAAATCCATATGTTGTTTGTGATCCTGAACTTCTCTAAACCTAGTCTTTTGGTTGTGTATTTGTATGATAGGGTCACACAAAATTCCAGCTCAACAAAAATAATCTATTGAAGAATTTTAGTAGTCGGTGAAATACATACCCAGTTGTCTTTAATTTGTGGTGGTTATTTTCGTATTAATATTACTTATGATGTAATAGTGGGTATTAGAAGTAACATTTTTGACACCTTTGAAACACAAATATGATCGGTTATAATTTTTGATTGAATGTTTTGAATATTATAAATATTATTTCACAAAACTTAGAATCCCAAAAGCCACAGCAAAGTTCAAGGTCGTTCTAGGCTTTATAATTTGTACGTGATAACTCTATTAAAGGTAATCAAAAGACTTCATATGCTTAAAATTCTTATATATTATGAAACAGACAAACAATATGTTTATTCAAAAATTGTCTTTCGCACAAATTAACATCAACAAGAATACTTTAAGGATAAATAAGCATTCATCACCTGTCTCGTTCTAGTTTGGGACAGCTTAACAGTGCACAACCATCGAGGAAAAAGAAGTTTAAATCGTAGTTTTTTTCGGTTTATAAAATCAAGTACAACAAGATGCGTTTGATGGGTTAGAATCCAATGATTTACATTTTCCGACTTTGGTCAATATATCACACACCACGATTTCCGTCTTATGTTATTAGTAAGTTATTCTTACTCACTGTTAACTTAATCGATCTCAAACGTGATTTTAAAAAAGTAATCTAAATGTTAGTTTACTGCTTCATTCATTCGATAATAGTGATTGAAGTAAAGTTGTCCTAAGATTTCTCAGTTATTAAAAATACAATAACGCTTAAATAAATTCGGAAGTATAACTAAGACAAAAAGTTTGGGTTTATTTGCGTACTGTAAAAAAAAGATTAAGATGCTTTACAATCGGGAAACCAACCTATACATTTTTCATGAAAATGATGAATATTTAAAAAAATGTATGATTTATTTATTACACAGAAGTTAAACTGACGAATTATGTTTCACAAGTTAATATAAAATTCAAGTAGAGTGGATCTAAATACCATCATGTCTTTTTATTTTTTCTAGAAAAATTGAGAAAAAGTCCCAACATTTATCGGTATTTCTTGTTATAGGGACCACACAATTTAGGTTATATGAAACGGATAAACTTAAGGTTGATTGAGTTAAAGAATTTTTTGTACTCTTTATACAAGATTATTGTAACCGGAATCAGTTATCAACTGAACAAGTAATGATAAACAGCTATGTGTGACAGTAGTTTATTATTTTCTATGTATAACTAAAAATTATTTAAAGCTAAACTATTGTATTTTTCAGGATGAGATAGAAACATTTAGGTACTTTAGTATGCTTTAGTTGATCAAGCGAAATAATGGAGTTTTAAAACAGGAAGACATAAAAAGATAAACTTAATAAAAGAATCTTTTTCAACAAGTTCATTTGGAAGCATATATATATATATATATATATATATATATATATATATATATATATATAGACTGTATTTCCTATGGTTTAACTGTACAGACAAACATTTCGACAAATATTAAGAATCAGAAACCACCCTGTAGCTATTTTATTCTAGTATTGAACTCTTTACTGGTGCGCATTACAAGGGGGTCGAGCCCGTGCTCTTCAGGATTCGTGGTAGAAATTTAACATTCAAATCAACAAGTTTATGTTCAGGAGTTTACACTGCTAAGTTCAAGAGACAATGATCAGTTGTGATTAGTGATATTTGTCACACACCGGATATGAATGAACTCCTAATTTTCATGATTGTCTAACAGAGACATAAAATTACCCTGTACAACACAATATACCAAAAAGACTGCGTTTGTGAGAATGTTGAAAGTGCATAATCGTTTGAGTAAGTAGAGTATGTGCCTAATTAACCGAAAATTGAAAAGGACGTGCATTATGAATGATAGCCACAAGCTCTGAATGGTAGCATCGTTTATATTGAAAAAAAAGGCAAGAGAACCAAACAATGTTTGTTGGTGTGAGAGGGAAATATGTTAAAACTAGGATCATGATAGAGGGAAGGATCAATTACTCTATTTATCTACCTCAAATTTTTTCATGGGTGTTTAAGTGTTAACCTTTCGGAATTCTTACTCGGTGTTTGCAAATAATGTCAAAGTATGCGCTTAAAGATTAGTAACCTGAATTAACTACATGTTACGGAATGGATGACACCATTATGATACATTTTCTCTTGCTAAACCATCCAAGGCGATGTTCCGAGATGAAATAAAAAAGTGACCACAGCAAAACAAAAAAACAAGTAACAAATTATTTGTATGTTTTACTGAGATAACGATATTTAGATTTTGTTGATGAATTTAAATTATACCATAACTATATTGAAGTAAGTTGAAATAAATAATATAAACCACACTTGACATTCAGTGAAACATTGACTACATTAGTTACACATCAAGTTACTTTCACCCAAAAATCCTTATTACTAAACATTTTCACTTACTTTCAATGAATAAATTGTTTTAAGTGGAATATAGATTATCAATGAAGCGATAAAGAGATATCATTTTCATCAGAGAGGGGTATTGTGACTATTATAGTATTTTAATAGATGAATTCATGAGTAATAATTATAACAACAATCTACAATTCTTTAAAAAAGAAGACCAAACATGTTTCTTGTTTTAAGCATTAGAAATGAGAAAAAAGTTTATAAAACTTTCTATATCATCTAATATTTACCCTGTTGTTCAACATACTAATGCAAAATGTATTGTAGGCAAGATTGAAAACTGACTTGCAAAAAATTTTTTATTGAGTTTGTAATTATACAAACATGAAAAATTAAATTTCATTTAAGTATCAGTATTAACAACAGATTACACGCCTATATTAGAGCAATGGACTGGGAGAGAGGAACAAAAACGGGGAAAGATTTGTAAATCTGTGTGCATTCAACAAATTGGTCATAGGCGGCACAATATTTTCACACAAACGTATACACAAAGCTACATGGATCTCACCGGACCACACCACAGAGAACCAGATAGATCATATTTGCATCAATAAAAAGTTCCGAAGGACAATGAAAGATGTGAGAACCAAGAGAGGAGCGGATATAGCTTCAGATCACCACCTGGTTGTGGCCAAATTGAAACTGAAGCTAAAGAAGAACTGGACAACTGGACAAACAGCACCACAAAGGTTCAATACAGCCTTCCTTCAAGATACTGACAAACTCAATGAATTCAAGATAGCTCTCAACAACAGGTTCCAAGCCCTACAGGATCTGCTGAAGGAAGAAGAAACTACTATGGAGGATAGCTGGAAAGGTATCAAAGAAACATTAACTTCAATGTGTCAAGAGGTTCTGGGCCTCAAGAAGCATCATCACAAGGAATGGATCTCTACAGAAACACTGGACAGGATCAAGGAAAGGAAGAACAAGAAGACAGAAATTAAAAACAGTCGAACACGAGCAGAGAAAGTCCAAGCACAAGCTGAGTACATAGGAGAAAACAAGCAAATAAAGAAGAGCATTAGAGCCGACAAGCAGAAATACGTGGAAGAACTCGCAACGACGGCGGAAAAAGCTGCAAGAGAAGGAAATATGAAACAGCTTTACGATACGACGAAGAAACTAGCAGGGAAATATAGTAAATCAGAGAGACCAGTCAAAGACAAAGAAGGAAGACCGATCACTGAGATTCAGCAACAGTGGAACAGATGGGCAGAGTACTTCGAGAAACTCCTGAATAGGCCGGTGCCGATGAATCCAATGGACATAGAAGCATCACACACAGATCTTCCTATAGATGTCAATCCACCAACGATTGAAGACATCAGAATGGCCATCAGACAAATCAAGAGCGGGAAAGCAGCAGGACCTGACAATATATAAGCTGAAGCGCTGAAGTCAAACATCGAAGTAACTACAAACATGCTTCATCTTCTATTCAAGAAGATTTGGGAAGAGGAACAAGTGCCGATGGACTGGAAGGAAGGACACCTCATCAAGATTCCAAAGAAAGGAGACCTGAGAAAGTGTGAAAATTACAGAGGCATTACACTACTGTCAATACCAGGAAAAGCCTTTAACAGAGTGTTACTGGACAGGATGAAAGACGCAGTAGATGTTCAACTTCGAGATCAACAAGCTGGATTCCGTAAGGACCGGTCGTGCACAGACCGAATTGCGACACTACGGATCATCGTCGAACAATCAATTGAGTGGAACTCATCACTGTACATCAACTTCATTGATTATGAGAAGGCATTTGACAGTGTAGATAGGAGAACGTTATGGAAACTTCTTCGACACTACGGAGTTCCTGAGAAGATTGTCAATATTATCCGGAACTCATACGACGGACTACAGTGCAAAGTAGTGCATGGATGACAGCTGACAGACGCATTCCAAGTAAGGACCGGAGTCAGATAAGGATGTCTACTCTCTCCCTTCCTCTTTATTCCTGTGGTCGGCTGGATTATGAAGACCTCGACATCTGAGGGGAAACACGGCATACAGTGGACAGTTCAGAACCAATTAGACGATTTGGACTTCGCAGATGTTCTAGCCCTCCTATCCAATACACACGAACAAATGCAGAGAAAGACAGCCAACATAGCAGCCGTCTCTGTATCAGTAGGCCTCAAAATACACAAAGGGAAAACCAAGGTCGTCAAACACAACATGGAGAACAGCAATCCAATCACTCTTGATGGCAAAACTCTGGAAGATGTGGAATCCTTCACATACCTGGGAAGCATCGTCGAGAAACAAGGAGGTTCAGATGCAGATGTAAAGGCGAGGATTGACAAAGCAAGGACTGAATTCCATCAATTAAACAACATATGTAACTCAAAACAACTTTCAACCAACATCAAAGTCAGAATCTTCAATACCAACGTCAAGGCAGTTCTACTGTACGGAGCTGAAACTTGGAGAACTACAACAACCACCATCAAGAAAGTACAAGTATTAATCAATAGCTGTCTACGCAAGATACTCAACATCCATTGGCCGGATACCATCAGCAACAGCCTTTTGTGGGAGAGAACCAACCAGCTTCCAGCTGAAGAGGAAATTAGGAAAAGACGATGGAAATGGATAGGACATACATTGAGGAAATCATCAAACTGCATTACGAGACAAGCGCTAACTTGGAATCTTGAAGGGAAGAGGAAAAGAGGAAGGCTAAAGAGCACATTACGTCGGGAAATAGAAGCGGATATGAAAGGGATGAATAAGAACTAGAAAGAGCTTGAAAGGATTGGTTGGGACAGGGTTGGATGGAGAATGCTGGTCAGCGGCCTATGCTCCTTCAAGAGGAGTAACAGGCGAAAGTAAGTAAGTAAGTAATTAGAGCACTGTGGATTATGTGGACATGGGTAGATCTGTCTATACAGTAGGAGGATTTTCAATAAACCTCATGTTAGTTATAAAAGTGTTAACTGATAAAATTTAATGATCATTATTACAACTGGATCATAGTTGAATTTAACTAATAGAGTTTGTCAAGATACGTTAATATGTTGTGCAGAGGTCTGAATGAAACATTCGATTTTGTAGATAAGATTTTATGCGAATCTACGAATGGAAAGTTTCTAGTAGCAAACAATCTTTTTGTTGTAATTAAAACAATCACTTTGTGGGAACTAACCTAGACTGAACATAGTCATTCTTGGAAGAGTGACTTATAATATGATAATAAGACTTTCATTTTCTATTAACTAAATAGTTATCTTCTTTCATATCTTATATACAGTTGACAATGGTTTTTGTACGTAAGTATAAGTAGTTAGTTGATGTAAATTTTGATTAGTTATTTTAGACAGGAGATTAATAATGGTGTTTGGAATAAGTTTCTAAAAGTTAATTCAAAAAGTAATCATCTGCAAAAGGTTTTACAAAATCAACATTCTGTTTGTTAAATAGGAAAACATTAAACTTCTTAAACAGATATAGTCACTAAAGGTGATAACGGTTAGCAAATTACAAGAAATGATGTACTAATGATCATCCAGAGGTGCTGAACAATTATTTTGTCCCATTTTACAAAACCCTCATCATTGTGTAACCATGGTCTTATTCACGGTGAAAACTATGATCTTTAGGTTTACCAATACGCAAAATATATTTTATGTACTGGATACCTATCGACTTCACTAAATGTGTAGTAAAATACTCATTCCATATTATAGGTGAGTTACTGTTTTACTTTTGCGTGGATTAGCTTGACGGATCACGTTGTTAGGTTATAGAAATTCAAATATAGGCAGTCTCTAGTAGGCATTTAAGTTAAAGAAACTAAATTTTGTTTTAAATAAAGTGTATCTGAGACTTATAAAGGTATGGATTGTGATGTAGGAAGCTATGAAAAAAAGCCGATCAATCAATTCACTAAGTGAACTTTTTCTCAGTATCGTAAATAACAAATTAAAAGAAAATATCACTGTTTAGAGGAAGGAAAACATTATCTTTATTAATTTTGTAACAACTTTTGTACTTTGTAAATATCCAAAGAAAGTTTGCTGCATAAAGATGTCATAGTAATTCTCATTAATATTCTTCTGATAAAAAAATAATCTGCTTAGTTCTTGAACTAAAAACTAATCCGGTTAATTTTTTTTTAAATTAAAATTTTTTAATTCATTTAATGATCTTCCATTTAATTCTGTTTCATGATGTAGACATCACAGAGCACAATTAACCAAAAACTTAGTGATATTCGAACTGAGTTTAATAGACAACTAAAGGCACATAAATAAATACAAAAGGCGATATTAATTAAATATCTTTAGATTAGATAGTTTGGAATAAAAAGAACATGAACTACTTCTGGAAATTGATAACAGATGAAATAAGTATCGTCATAAAAACAATACAGCGATAGGAAAAAGAGACAGGGGTAGACGGATGTTTTAAGTTTGTAAGGGACTCTTCGACAGTGCGATCCTATAATCTTGCGTTAAAAATTTCTTATTTTAATAAAAATCATTTGCTCAACAGTGATTGGCTTCCTGATAATACTCGATATTCCAGTAAGGGATCATAGCTAGTATATTTAAACTATTTTGGAAGTGAGATCGATATTATTGACAGCATTAGATATTGGTCATAGGTGCACACAAATAGGAAGTTTCAACATAGTTTGCAACAACCATTCAGTGCTCTGTTATTTAAAATAGTTATTTTATCAAAGTCACTCCATGATTTAAATTATTCTAACCTTGAACAATCTTTACAAACATTTTCAAAAACGATTAAGTGGCTCACATTATATTATTAAAGAAAAGCAATTTTCAACAGTGAGTGTACCATAACAACCAATGGTAATATGACTAGATCTATCTTTCAAGTACAAAATAGGAATTTATACTTTAGTAAGAATATTACAACGGCTTTATATAATATGATGATCAAAAAACCTTCCTTATTTTTAAAGCTGAATGAATTATCACAATCATTTGATACAATAAAATAGAATCCCACGTGTGGGGTCGTGATTATGCATTGCTGAGGTGTTCCATACTAGGATGAAACGACCATCTAGTGCTTCCAGGTTTTCAATGGTGGTCTAATATTCATGAGTTCATGATTTCGATATAGTGCAATACCGTTTAATAGCTTAATAAAACGATACTCATGTTTACCGCGTTTACTATTGTCAAGTTAAGAATAGCCGCTAGAAAGTTTTAACAGAGATATTTACAATTTTTCAACGTTCGATTGTGAAAAACTAAGATTCTTTCATTGACTTACGATACATCTCATCTGTAGGTACTAATCGCTAAAGAATTTGTAGCAAAAGCATAAAGTCTTAATTTTCAAATATTATATAATGGTAAAGCGAAATAAATCATAAGTGATAGTAAAAATTTGGCATGTATAATTGAATAAAATTAGAGATTAAGTTGATTCAGTTATAGATCACGAGGATTTGTTTAAACAAGCGAGCTTACATTTACAAAACTAGCATTGATATAATCTCCAGATCCTTGTTTTAATATGACACGAGTTTGATCATCTGTTTCAAAATAAGTAAATAAACAAATAAAGAGATCAAATAAAATCTACTGACAAACAAAAAGAGGTTTACTCCGATGATCAAATTTTATTGGATGATTATAGTTTATCATTTGGAGGTTTTTCTTCTAAAAGTCATTACCAATAAGTTTTCAGTTGTTTTCGGATCTTGCTGGGGAGTTTAATTAAATTGTTTATATGTTTACTTTAAAAAAGATTGATAAAATCGTTATTAAATAGGAAAATTACTATCCAAAACTTTGATCCAAAGGAAACACGCCAATGAGAGAATTTATTAGGTCATGAACAGATGGTCAGCTAAGAATCACTTTATGGATCTTCGGAGATTATTGAATCTTTATGCACACCATTAAATGCTAGCTCATCCATCATCATCGCAAGACCTGGAAGTGCTGGGTTCGATTCTTTATGTGTTCATAGGTGCACAGTGCTTAAGAGTCCCATACTAGGTTGTTTAACCAAAATCGATTAGTGATGTAAGCCATAAGAAATCGATTAAGAAACTTGAACATATTCGCAAACTGATTGGCCTTAAACAATCATATAATACTGCTTCTTTGATTTAAATGATCAGTAAGTATCGGCTAGATAAGTGACGATTATCGATTAATTCAATAAAGTTTGAAGATATAAAATTATTCAGAATATTTACACATTTCAAAAGAATGAAGAATAACAAAACTGAAGTAGTCGTTGAACTGAATATTCCTTGGCAAAAAGTGTAAATAATATTGTAACATAACCTAATCGCTGTTTGAGGAATATTTAATAAAAAAGCTTGAAGTTGTACACAATGTATTATTTAAGTGGTATTTAGTGGTCCGAGATCTGACTCCAGGTAGATCGTTTGCTGATTGTTATCAAAAGATACATACCGTCAATCCTTGTATATAATCATCGACTTAAATCACGTTGGTGAATAACGGAATTAAATAAGTCAAATACGAGAATGGATTTTTGAATACGTACATTTCGTAAATCGTTGATCGGTACAGACATTCAGAGAAACGCAGGGAATGAAGCAAAAAGGAGAGAGAGAAGCGAAACAAAAGGATGCACAATGGAGAAGGCGAGTGAGCCAACTGGAATTAATCAAGCGATATCTATAGTCAGACAAAAAAAGTTACAGACTTGTGATGAGTACAGAACTCATACACACGAATTTGTTGATTCAATCTTTCTTTAAAAGGCAGAGCAACGATTCAACTGAAAGCCTTTTCTCTCTTCTATATTTTTAAATGAAATGAAAATGCTCCTGTATAGAACTAGTAATGGTTTTACATTCTCCTTTTAGAAGCCAAGCTGGATAGTGTTGTGAGATGCGTTTGGACAGTGAAATGAAGATTTTCTGAGTACTGTGTATTAATAAACGTTACAGAAAATAAACATACTCTAAAACCAAACAGCATCTTCAGTTTAAACTGGATATTCTGTCACAACTTAAGGTTTGTATTTTTCCATCGCTGTTATTTAAGAGCTGTAGTTGGTCAACCTCCGTTCGGGTAAGTGTATCCTAAGTGGAGTGCATCGATGTTATCTTTTAGTTAAAAGAATTTTGTGCACTATGGCTAGTAATGCAAAAATGAAAACCTTGGCAAATAACTACATACTCGTTGAATAATTTAGTGCATTTTTTTTCAGTAGTTCTGAGGATAGCTCATTGTTCTTTGGAGAGATGAGTACTTGGTTGAAGTCATGACGTTCACATGAATGTAAATTAATGTAAATTAATCTGACTAATGGTACCATATAAGACGAAACGGGCATACAGAATGCTACTGTTATCGATTATCCAAACGTTAGGTGACGAGTCTTAAAATTAACTTTTAATGTCAAATTTGCAGATTAAATCCAGATCACAGATTGTTAGTTGAATATGATCAAAAAGTTGAATATTTAACTACTGCACAAGGAGTCTAAACGTTTCAGAGATAACAGTAAAGTTGCAGAGTGTATTACTCAACTTAATAAGGTTCTGTTTCATTTAAATCTCGGCTCTACGGTCATATAAAAATTGAATGCATCTGGTTATTAATAATTCCATACAGTGAGGTATCTAATATAGATCTGGTGTATTTTATTAACGATAATTTACAATTCTATGAACCAACCATAATATATACACTGTTACATGATATATATATCTAAGTAAGATTGTTTTTCACTATCAACCATACAAGTTGTTTGATTAAGATAGATCAAGTTCCTTATTATAGTGGATAAAAACAGACAGTTATAGTAAACAATTAAAATTTCAAAAGGATGCAAGTGTGTGTAATCATACGGTCATTTAAAGATGAATACTTATCTGATGAAACCCAGTTTAGAAATATAAACATTTCCGTTTTTTTGTGCTTAATATTTAACTTTATGTAATAATCTACTGAGTAAAATAAGTTTAGTTAAATCATTTGACGTTAAATCCTAAAGGCAATCATTTAGTTGGAGTTGTTTACTACAATTTGTCTGTCAATTCTAAGTGCTTTAGTCATGGTTTTAATAATTCTAATCTAAGAAATGAGATAGAATAAAAGATAATCAAATATCTTTAAGGATAAATAGAACCTAAGGTTAATATTGATTATTTAATCATAGATTTCTTGAACATTTTACTTCTTAGTCTATTTAAACTAATGGTATTTGATGACTGAAAAATTGTAGCTTTTAAAAATCAGATTATTTTAATAAGTTACAGTACAATAAAGAGATAACTTCACCTACTCATATATAGGTTAAACAAATAGATTTAGTATAATGTGACAATTTTAGTAAATTACAGTTGGTTGCCAAGCGAAATCTGTTTAATCTTAGAAAATTCAAATTATCTATGAGTGAAATATTAGTCAAATCTGTTTATTCAACCATATTAGAATCTCATCATAAAATTTTATAGATGTTAGAAAAATACTGTTAGTATTGATTATCATACAAAGCGTTCATTGTTATTATGTTGCAAAAATTGTATATAGCCGTTTTCAATGATTCAGTATATGATACAATATTGGGTATGGCATAGACTTGGAGGGAATGTTTTCTATTGTAAAGCATACAAAAGTTAATGAGAATTAGTTAGTCATATAAGCCATGAAGATTGTCATTATGTAGTCTTGTGAACTATTTGTGGAAGGAATTATTTTGATTGTATGATGAAAAGTAATCAGTCAACACAACTGGATCACTTAAATGTGACTGATTGACAAGGAAAGTATATTAGAGATTTAGAAAGCTCTGTTGTTATCCATTAAATGGTGCTATTTATGACATTGGAAAAGAATATGTTTATTTTGTCAAAGTTATTTTATACAGAAGTAAGCCCTGTTTTGCAACTAACTGACAGGTTGGATCATTTGATAGTACCAGCTATATCAGCTCTATACATTGTACTGATAATCTTCTGAGTAGCATTAATTAGGGATGTTCAACCGGCAGAATGGTCGAATTTACTGAAACTTACATCAGAAAATACACTCTTATTGATTCATGAACGAACGGAAAACAGTTCCGTTTGTGATCTTGAGGTGTATGTACAATAAATTACTAGAACTAAAGACGTAAAGTTTGCATGTATGGGTACAGAAAGTAAATAAGTGAAGATTAAGAAACCTCTTTAAAAATTATATTTAAATAATTATTTCGTGAATACATTATTTCATTTTTCCATATAAAATTACTAATTTTTCCATTTGTATTATTATCAAGTACTTTCATTTTACGTAGATAACGTTTTGTATTCTATTGAAATTTAAGTAAATAATAAAAAAAAACATATTCTTACATGGTGAAATATCACGATAACGATTTTTTATTGAATTCTCGCTTAAACGAGACACATTCATTGTGAGACCAGATTTTCTTCTAGGCAGATGCTACATATTTTAAAGATAAACAATTATTGTAAGGTTTCTAATACCATGGTAGAATAAAATAACATAAAAAGTGTATATTTAATTGTTCAAATATAAAAATACCAAAATCTAAGGAGGACCGAAAAATTGTTTTGTATAAAAGACTATGAGAAATTGTTTAGTTTTATCAGATGAGATGATGGTAGGAAGTAGTCGACAGGAAACCTTGGATCTAGGTTTCATGCTATTTGGCACTCGTCAACAAGGTGTAACTGTACTCTTGATGGAATTAATACTACTGACCGATTCGATCGCGTGTCACTGATCTTCACTGTCAGAAACGTTATCACAGAGCTATTCGGGCTGCGACTGACTTCCTATTGTGCTATCATCATATTGTAAATTTAATCAACAAAGCTTGTTGTCTTTCCGAAGTCGTTAAAATAAAATGTAATAATATCTTTATTATTACTATTATGATCATAATTGAGACAACATACAAAGTAAATTGAAACCGGACACTCATTTTTTGTCTTATAGAATGTTCGATTGCGTTCAATTTCCAGATCTGACACAACAGTACCCGTCCAAATGATAATTGTAAAAGTAACTACTAATATAAATCAGTTGATTTAAATAAGTGACAAACTATCACTATATTAAGAAATTACTTCTAAAGTATTAATTGCACCTAAAATAATATACAATCAACAAATATCCGTAGACTTACTTCGAATTGATTTAACAATGATCCATCAGCTAAATGACATTCTAATTCTATCATTGAATCTAATAATGTTGAACCAGAAAAAGAATATCTATGTACGATACTATTGTTATGATCTCGATCCATTGCATTATTTGATGATGATGATTTAAATGAAAAACGTGTTAAACGTTTTGAATTTCTTGCAAATTTCTCTAAAGAAAGTGTTGGTCGACGGATAGATGAGTTATAAGATCTAGGTGGAACTGGAGGAGCATCTCCAGAATCTGGGATAGGATTGTCATCGTTTACATCATCTGTTACATAGTCTGTATGGATAAAAATTAACACAAACTGATATTACGTAGTCAAGTATATGTACATATATGGTATGAAATAAAGTATAGCGTTTATTTTTTCATTATGAAAAGTTACAAGGTGAATTATTTTACTTAATATTTAGAATGTTTCATTGTTTACTCATCACTTCAGCATCTATTTATTCTTTAGTAAATATGTTTACATATATAAATTGTTGGATGAACTGAATAGTGCATAACATAACTTATTGTTTAAGTATGTAAATACGTGCAGTTATCAAAAAAAAGAGAAAATTCTGTGTCAATTTGTTATTGTGCAAAAATGAAAAAAACACTTTATAAATAAGTTTTAATCTTGGAATAAAGTTAAACTAAGAATCGAATGAAAAACTACATTCCACGCAGATAGATGTAGGATGCTGAAATGATTGATTTTGAAAAAGATATCTACGTCAATTTATTGCTTTGTCTAATTTATTTCATTGAAATTAGATTTATAGACGACAATGATCAGGTTATACGTTACAAAATATGAGCAAGCGCCTGTGCGTGTTCGCATCGACGATATATCATAATACGTTTCAAAGTAGAAGAATATAGCTAACAAAGATTCCCAGTTTTCAATGGTTCACCAACCAATGAACGAAAACCGTTTTCATAAACGTAATACTTATTTCATATTAGAAAAAAGTACATCTCATTGTAACATTACTTTAAAATGTACACTATATATTGTGATCTTAGGATGCACATAATGATTAAGACGTTCAAAGTTATAGTTATATCAATGTTATTATCTCAAGTTGTGATATTCATCTATAAACCTTTGTATTGTCCTATATTTATTTGCATATTACAAACAAATAAACTTTTTAAGATTCTTCTCTGGTGAACTAATTACTAGACAGTTCTTTAAACGGATTTACTTGCAAAATTAATTTGAAAATTTTAAGTAAAATGTTTATGTGTTTAACTCATATCTTTGAAAGATTTTGTTTAGATTTTATTTAATAATATTCATAATAATACTGTTATCATTTATGGTTTCTTGAAAACATGAGTTGAAATTCCCCAGCTTTATCATGTGTAAGTGTTTAAATGTTGTGTTGTTTATTGAGAGGAATAAAGGGGGAAAAAGTTACATCTTTCTGTTTATTTTTTCCAAATCACTGCTCAACTACTTAATATTTTTTATCATAATTATGTTAAGAAGAATAAGAAAATTAGGCAAAGAAGGAAGTGTGAAGGAAACAATGTTAAAACACAGCAAAAAAAACAAAATTATTTTACGGTTTGTTAAACAAGGTACACAACTTAAATAATGAAAACAGAGTTAACAATGAAAGTTGAAAAAAGAAACGTTCGTGTGTTACAACAGAATTTGAACAAAGCGGTTTAAATATTTCCGGTTACTGATAAAATAAAATAAATTTATGTCGACATTATCAAATAATAATAATGGTAATGGTATGATAACCAAAGCTATTTTAGTTATATTATTTAAAGTTACATATTGACCTGTTTTGAACACGAAAACTTAAATGAATATACATTGTTCTGAGAAGGCAATATATTTAAGTGCATACTAGACATGGTAGAATAAAAATCAATAGACTGTAATCAGATTAAAATTATGAACTTATTCAAGTTAGCCCATCAGTGAAAACCCGGAAACATTAGACACCCGTTTCGTTTTAGCATGGGATTCTTCAGTAGTGCGCATCGATAAATCCGCACGCGGGACTAGCACTCAATATTTCTAGTTTCGCACGCAAACGGTTAACCAATAGATCACAAAACCGAAATACATACTATGATGAAATGGTTGTCTAGTGCTTCCAGGTTTTCAATGGTGGTCTAACTTATATGATTTCAATGAAATTCAACAATCTCCACAACTCCATAATGAGAAATGTTGTAACCAGTTTAGCTTCGTCATTCAGCTATTTAACTCTTTAAATGGAACTTTCAAGATAATATATGAGACAAACATGATTAAACAATACTTGTCTGTCATTTATGCCTCAGTTTAATTTACAAGCAAAGTATATATATATATATATATATATATATATATATATATATTTGGTACAGCAAAAAGCAAAAACACACTCACCACTTGGTTTAACTAAAAGCTCAAGTGTACCATAATTTTGTTCACTTGCAGCACGTATCATATTTACAACCTAAAATTCCAATTTAATAAAACAAAACCAAGACAATAGTTATAATTTAAAGTTTAATGTGAATTCGGACAATAAACTCATCGATACAAAAAGAAAACAAAGTTTATTATGTGATATTTATTGGCGAAAATTTGTTTTCTTTAATTATCTCAACTGACTACTTATAATAGGAAACAAAAATCTGGAAATATGGATTAGATAAGCAAGAAGATCGTAAACATTTCTAATTACACAAGCAAATAAATGCAGATAATTTAGAAGAGCGATGAGACAAAGAGGCACTATTAGGTTTCTTAATTATAGTAATAATAATGACAAACCGTTAAAACACTCGGTTGATTTAGATCGCTTTATTTAAATATATTCAAGAAGCGTTTTGCAACAACATCTGACATCATTAAGTTTAAATTAAGTGGGAAAGCAGAAAAAACTTTCTTCAAGTGTGATGATCTATATTACTAACAAACTTTAGGAGGATAACTATCAAGAAACAAGAACCATTATGGAGTTGATTAGTTTTTCTGAGGGACTCTATAGCAGTGTATACCCAAGACCTCTCGAAGGGTCAATATTAGTCAGATAATATTACGAAACTATTGATATTTAAAATATGAATCATTGGATGTTAGCTCAATTTAACAATGGTAACGTGGTCGCTTTGAGAACTTAGAGACTTAGGCTCTTTTCCTATTACTTTTATAGGAATGCACTGCTGAAGGATCCTAAACACAGTTATTTGTTCAATGGTTGTCTAAATGAAGTCAGACTGTTACGAATACTTTCTTTACACTGGACAATCATCCCAAACTTTCAATCCTAATTTCTTCTAATAACTTGATTACTACCATTATCGTCTATAAATGTATAGACAGATAGTTATGCTTTCCAAATAAAATAGTCTTGGGGAACTTTAGCGGTCAACAGTTATTCTATTTCGCTGTTCATATGACGAGATAATTCATACATCAAAAGTGAATATTTAAAGTAATGTTATTAAATGAGTTCAATAATTTCTCCTGAAAAATACAAGAGTCAAAACAATGTTAGAAAAGTAAAAGGTATCTGGAGATTAAGTAAGAAGTCAATGTTATAAACATTAGGTGCATTAAACGACAGTCATAACTGAATACTAAATGCATATTAAAGAGTATGCTATTCCATGTTATCCAGTCATTAGCATTATTGGTATTAATTGGTTAATCCGATTTATGATTCACTTTCCGGGTTTGAAAAAATTTAAACCACGAAAAGCAAACAGACCGTTGCACAGTTAAAAGCAATTAGCAAAAATTATTGGTTTAACGCGTCTGATGAATTTATAAACTTGATATTGACTGTATAATGAGGAGCCACAATCATGAACTTTATGTTGATCTGTTTTTTGTTCAGACTGATTTTTATGCAGGAACTAATGGTATGTTGCCTGATTCTCAGCACCAACATAAATTGTTTTACAACAATGTGTTGTATTTGTTTCTATGCCCTTTCAGAGACTCCTAATTGTATATTCTCATGAGCTATGATCATATTACTGATCACTGCGTAGCAATATGAGGTCAAAGATTTTGCATCAGTAGAACGCTTTTTTATGTATTAAATGATTAAATTTCACAGTAATGACTATTAATCTAGGGAAGTGATAACATGTAGTATCAATTAACATCCAAACGAACTCCTTATTTTTGAATAAAAAAGTACTTATAATGTTACCTGTAAATGGGTCTGGTTTGAAACATCTTTATGATTGATGAATAAGATTTGATCACCCTCTGAAAGTCTAGGAATGCATAGGTCAGCAGGCATATTAGCACCAACACGACTAACTATAATCGGCATTCCATGATCAATCCCACCTTTTACGTTGAATCCAAATCGTCCATGACTGTCAGGTCTGATGGAAATACGGACTAGTCCTTCGGAATTTAATTCATTAATTTCATCAGGTGGGTGAAGTGAATTTTCAACGTCTGGGGCACCTGGATGAAATGGATCTTTATTTAAACCTTTATTACGTGTGTGTTGGGAATTATCGACTTCAACTTCATTGTTGTTTATTACATCTGAATGCTTATTGAGAAAAAGAATAGATTACTTGTAATGATCATTATGAGACAAAATTAGTCGATAATAACCAAAAGAGAGACGAGAATTATGAATGAATATTTTATTTAGTACTAAGAATTAGGAGTTAGTAATCTCACCTACACACATTAAGGATTATAAATGGTTTTCATGTCTTCTTAGACAACGAGCACAAAGCCAAGTGATAGACTAACACAAAACGTTAACTTATATTGTACCATTTTAATCAATTAGAATTCTCAAGGGGAGATCAATAATTACCGAACGGTGTTAAAACAAATGTGATTTTTAACTGTGGTAAATCAATAGTATGGTACTAGTTTTCTGTCACTTAAATAAATTACGATAAATATAGAATATTTGATTGCATTCAGAAATTCATACTTTTCATTGTAAGATTCCAGTTAACCGTTCTCTTGCTCGTATATCCGTAAATTTTAAGTTCATCCGTTTTGAATATATCCATACGAATATTTGAACTCTATTATTATTATTATTATTATTATTACCATTAATATTGTTGCTATTAGGCTTTAGTTCCTCCCAGTACTTAGTGATTAAACATTTTGGATTGTAATAAAAACAGAAAAATAAATTAAACGATCATAATCATAATAAAAATCCTTTAGTTTTTATCCGGAGGCAACATTTTTTTCAACTACTGTTTTTTTATTTCTAAAATCCATTCTCCTTAAAAATAAATGGATCGATAAACGCATATACATGTAACTCATTATTCATTCATTCGACAAATATAATTACAACCAGATAACTTACATCCATCATCTTCTAATAGTAAAGGATTTACATGATAGGGATAAAAGTATCAAATTCTTAAGGAATGGGTCCAAATAAGACTCAAGATAATGTGTAGTAATAATAATCGATATTATTACTACAAAATAAAATTTATGGGATAAGATTATGGTGTATATAAGAAAATTAGGCAAAATTTCTGTTTAAACAACAGTTTGAGATGAGAAAAGAAGCAAAGATTGAAGACTTTGAGTGATCATCTTTACATACTAGCATCATACAATTAACGATAGATCGATAAACGTTTAGATAGATAGGTGGATAAGTATGATCAACTGAGGGTCTGATGCGGGTATATATTAGTTCAAATTTTCATGTTTTACATCGACATAGAGAGTAAATGAGGTAGTTTCTAGGAAAGAAATACGTGAGTTGGGATAATAATACTCGTGATAATGAAATGGTAAATGTACAATATATTACAGAAAAAGGAATTGGAAGGTAAGACGTATAGAATAGTATCAAACTATCTAAATGAAGATTAGTGATGAATAGATTTGTCACTGAGGCTGCTTTTGAATCACAGGTTAAGTGACATGATTGAGACAGCATTTAAAAAAGTTTCAATTATTAAATAGACGGAAAGAAGCAAACATGAGACCTGACATTAAAATATTTATTACTCAGAGTTCATTTAAGAACGATTAGTAGAATTAAGAGGGTATGAAAAGCAGAATATTGAAACTAACGATATCAATAGTAGTAGATAAATAAATGCTAAGAATCAAGAAAGAGGTATAAATAAGGGGTGAAGGATAGACGGCTATATGATTTTCGGTGTTGAAGCTAAAAGTGAACATTAGATTCAGTTGGAATGTTAAAAATTGAGTAACAATTTCAATCATCACTAACAATTGTCACACACACAAATAAAAAATGTTTGTATTTTACTGCATAAACCGGGTCAACAATTTTAATACACAAAAGAAGGTCGATTGACTCGATTCTGTAAACTAAAAATAACTCACTAAGATGTTTCATACACTTTAAAGTAAGTATGTAATAAATTTATGCCAAATGTAACTAAATCAATGTGCTCTAATTCAGTACTTATATCAGATGAAACTTGTATTGGAATATCAACATGTACGAATGATAATCTACAAACTAATATCACGGGTCCTTTTCAACTAATTATGTGAAGCATTAATGAGTGAATCAAAATATATCAGCCAACTGGAGGTTATTGATAAGATGACGATCAAATAATGAGCACAGATGGAGATTTGATCAATGGCTGAATGCTCCTTCAAATGAACATTTTTAATTAATAAAATAGTCACTTATTTATAAATTGTCAGACTAAATAAACGTAAATATTTCGGTGATCAAAGAGCAATTAAAAGTCACTGATTATCTGGATTACTGCAGATCAATATATCAAAACAAAGTTATAAATTATTTATATTGTCCATTACGTTTAGTGAAAAAAGGTCTTAGAAGTAACTCAAACTACAGCTAAGTATAAGTACATTTGAAAGTAATCCAAGGACTGTTTCTATTTATGGCACATATTACTACGAGAATTGTTGAAGATACAACAAGATATCTCTTGTAAAGTGTTCAGGGTTGTTCTACAATCAACCATAACCCGATATACCCAAACGTTTATCATAAAGAGCATATTTTTCAATCAATATACTTGGTAAAACTTTTAAAATTGAACAATGCTTAGAGAATTCGTACCCGAAATAACTCAACCAGTCATAAAAAATACTGCAGACGATTTGATTTCAATAGGACTTAAATCATTTATAAAAGTTCCAAGTCTGGTACAATAAACAAGCTGAATAAATATGATAGAATGAAATAAGCTGTGTCATGGTCATTATTAACAAAGATATATAAACTATCATTTGAGACTTCTACAACCGTTTTCTTCAACTAGCATAGTAAGTATTAAGAACAATGTACGACTGTTGAGTAAATTATCGTCTTATATATGACCCCATTTAATTACTTTTGATTAATATACCAATAAATAAACATATACACAATTTGTGGAGATCGTAGTATATTCACAGTTAAATTCACGAGAAACTAGCCTCAAGACGGAACTCCTAGAGTTCCCATGAGAAGTAGTGACCACTGGCGTCCAATCCGTGTGGGGTGGAGAAAATTATCCACCTCAGAAAATGAATGAAGTGTTGTAAAAGATCATGGATCGATTGACGTTAGACATTAACACCGTTGGACACTGGCTCAGTGATCTAGAGGTTAAGCGTTCGCACGCGAGATCGAAGGTTCTGGGTTCGATTTCTGAGTGCAGACTCGTGGATGCGCACTGCTAAGGAGTCCAATAATAGGACAAAATGATCGTTTAAGGCTTTCAATGGTGATTTAGCTTGGATTGACTCGTGAACTTAACTGTAAATATATACAATTACATATTAATTTTCAGTTAACTAATGCGATGATGAATTCAATTTAATCGCTATCAACCAGTATGTATGATATAATTTTGATCATAATCAGAGGCCAAAAAATGATTATTGGTTAGTAATAACGTACATATACGTATACAGATATCACAATTCAAACACGATTCATAACAAATAACGTTTAAAACTGAGGTTATCCGCAATATTTCTAATGTTATTTTATGAAACCAGTAATTTCGTGCATTTGCCAATTCATTCAGTGAATGAGAGCTATACGTTACAGGGTGATTGTTATTGGCAATTTTATCTTAAGCTCTAAACTTTACCAGATCTGCATTATTTAGATATCATGTTATGCATCACTAGACTGACGATTTCATAGAAGACTATTGTGGATAGCTTTAGACGATTAAATTGAAAGGTCTAATAAAAATCACACTTTAATATTCAGAATAGTAAATGGAGTGAAAGTGCTTGTGACACACAACATTAAAAATAATCTAAGTTACCTCGAAATTACAAACCAAACTCAACATATAAATATAATCTGTCAATCAGTGAATGAAAAATTTGTTTTTCAGACCATAGTTGCTTTTAACAATTTATATTATTGATAACTTCGTTGTTAAGGTTGTAAATTTATTTATCAAGAAGGTGAATTAACATTAAAACATTAAAATGGAAGAAGTTTCCATATATAATATGTAAACAAGATTCACTCATTCATAGTTAGGCATATATTAAATACATGTTACTTTCAGTAAAATCAATTCAAATAAACAAACAGGATATAGCTAGTTATTATTAATGTTATATACATAAACAATTTCATATATAAGAAGTACGCATTAACTATTGTGATGTTATTATCTCGTTTTCTTCCATGTAAAACAACGTACTAGTTTTAAGACTTTAGAAATTTGAGCAAAATTTAATTCTTATTTCTTCCTGAAAAAAAACGATTGTTTTACCAAGTAATGAATAAAAAAATGCTCAAGTAAATAAACCACAGGAAATAATGAAATAATATTTGTTGGCAATTAGAATTAATGATTTCGCTTGAAGAAAAAAAGGAAAACTGTCAGCAAGAAATAGGAAATGGTTTCATTTGTGCATCCTTACCATTGGTAAAATCACTAAACGAATTAAAGAAAAATTACAACTATTAAGTTAAAATTAAAAATAAAAAGTTACTGCTAAACATGATAAAGAAGCGGGTTCTTTTTTCTGGTTGTCTATTGTTTGAATTTATTGTTGTGAGACAATTATTTCCTAAAGACAATGGTGGACGGTCGCACAATATCGTAGGTTGGTTGAAGTTAGACATTAACACTGTTAGATGCCGGCTCAGTGATCTAAATGTTAAGCGTTCGCGAGCGAGGCCAAAAGTCCTGGGCTGGAATCCCGGGCGCTAGATCATGGATGTGCACCGCTGAAGAGTCCCATTCTAGGGCGAAACGGCCGTTCAGTGCATCCAGATTTTTAATGGTGGTCTAACATTGATTCATTCATGATTTCGATCTAAATTCAACAATCTCCACAACCCTATAATGTGTTTAGTCATTGATTCTTTCAAGTTTATGCATGTATGTAAATTGGCATTTCATAGGTCAAAACGAACAAAAGTACGGATATCCAATCAAAGATGATATTATTCTATTATGTAATATTTTTTCTGTTATGTAAAGTATTGTTATTTGAAGCATAACGTTTGTTGTAAGTGAAAGAAAATGATAAATCAGATCGAATTACAATAAAAATGGTTTGGTAACAGTCGTGATAAAACGA